CAGAATAAAGCAACGAGGATAGGCAGATCAGGATAATCGGAACCAACTTTTGTTACTACAAAGACCTCCTGAAGAGATCTTACACGTATAAACGTTTGTCAGGATCATAAGCAGGGTGAGGTACTGGCACAGATCCCAATACTGAACATGGCATAAAGCACAAGTCTAACAGAATAAAGCAACGAGGATAGGCAGATCAATGATAATCGGAACCAACTTTGGTTACTACAAAGAACTCCTGAAGAGATCTTACACGTATAAACGTTTGTCAGGGGCATAAGCAGGGTGAGGCACTGGCACAGATCCCAATACTGAACATGGCATAAAGCACAAGTCTTAACAGAATAAAGCAACGAGGATAGGCAGATCAGGATAATCGGAACCAACTTTTGTTAATACAAAGACCTCCTGAAGAGATCTTACACGTATAAACGTTTGTAAGGGACATAAGCAGGGTGAGGCACTGACACAGATCCCAAGCATAAAGCACAAGTCTAACAGAATAAAGCAACGAGAATAGGTAGATCAGGATGATCGGAATCGACCATAGAAAAAGTTCGTCACTCCACAGTTAAGTAGAAATCTTACACGAATAAACGGATTGTTAGGGAAGAATAAGTAGGCTTAGACACCGACACAGACCCAGTACTGAAGATTTCGAGAAGCCAAAATACATCAAACAGACAAAAACAGCAAGAATAGGCAGAGGATGATTCGAAACGAACGTATCACCTCGTAGCCCTCAGAGGACCTGAATCAAAGAAGAGTGATCGTGCTCAGTCGACTAAGAATAGGCCATGCGAGGTTGACAGACGGACGATTACTTTCGTGCCAAAGCCTGCATATGTGTCTGGCATGTGGAGAAGTTTTAGCTTACTTATATAATTGAAGGGTGTAATTCCTAGCCTCTTTTAAGAGAGCGAATAGGAATGCCGCCCAATAAAGTTGTACTTGTGCACGACAGTGAGTATTTAAGCCCCCTATTTTGGTTTTTGGAGGGAACGACATAATGCTTGTATTTTGTTTTTACGTTCTGAGATTGAGTGTATTTATTGGGGTAAGAGGGACGATCATCAATTCGATTATTTATATGTGTAAATGATGATGAGACGAGGAAGTCTGTTTAATAAACGGTGCCTTGTCTCACCCTGTTTATGCCCTTAACAACCGTTTATACAGGTAAAACTTCTTCTTGTGGTCTGCGCGGTGACCTGTTCAAGTCAAAGCCCCATTGGTGGTTCGTCAAGGATGTAAGCAGGGTGAGGCAAGGCAACAATCCTTAAGCAAACCCACACATCAATTGAGTAGGTAGACCAGTATAATCAGCAACGGCCCAACTACAGGTTTATTACCCAGCAGGCCTCAAAAATCAATCTCACCCTTAGAACAATTAGGCATCATGTTTTTATAATAGAACTCTAGTATAGTCGTTGCTGGTTCCATGTCTTTCTAAACTTGGAAAAAGTGCAGAGCAGTACAAAAACAGCTTTTCCCTACAAGAACCTCCTTTTCAAAATTAAAATGTTAGCACTCTTCTATGATCCCCAGGATATTTTCATGGTGGGTGGTCGTTTAAACGACGCACCGTTAACATAAAACGCCAAAATCGAATCTTTTTACCACATCGAAGCCATTTCGCGGAACTGTTCGCCGACCAACGTATACGCCGGTCCAACTTCTAGGACATCATGCAACTTCTACGACAACGATGTGTGAAAGGATATGAAAAAATTTCCGTCAGACCGTTTTGCACAAGGACGAGTTTTCAACATCGGGGTTGACTTCACAAGTCCATTTTACCGGCAAGTAGTCTGAGCAGTCCAAGCAAAGAAAGGCATTTTTCAAAGGCATGTTTGTGTGTATGAACACCAAGTATATTCTGAAGTGGCCTTCAGTTTATCCACCTACCTGTCTTACAAGGACCGTTTTATTGCACGTCGCAGTCTATTTTTTTCCGGCAATGAAACTTCAGAGACTTCAAACACGGTGGATAGTTAAGTTCAGGGCATCTGCGCCATCTTAAGAATAGAGAAGTGCACGTAACGAGCTGAGCTTGTATAAATTAATTAATTAACGTGATAGATAAATTCATCTAAGTTCAGTTTAATTGTATTCTCATTTTTTTTTTTTTTTGCCGTCCTTGCCAATTTCGGCCTCGTTCGAAAGCTGGCTTTGTAAAATCAAATTCGGCTATTTAGAAATCAAGACAGCTTTGTAAGAAATTTCGACTTCGACCCTGAGCAGAGCACGAAAAGTCTATAAGCGTCCTCACCGAGATACGCCTTTTAAACACACTTCGTCCTCGGTTTTCACTTTTTCAGTGTTTGCCTGCTGTTTATCTATTGTTGTTTTTTTTCAACTCGACCTGTGTACTTGTAACTTATCATGGCTTAGAACCTTTTACACTGCTTGCCACCGAGGATGCTCCTATTTCCTCAATTCCATAACCATGAAAAATTTGCGATAATACATAGATTGAAAACTTCATGTTCGAACAGCAATTTTTTGTCATAAAATATACTTCGTTGTATCAGTAAAAGCCTGAATATCTTCGAAGTAAATTTTGATTTGTCAGTGAAGAAAAAATTGAATATTTACGTTCTTTTTAAACTAGCGAATGACATGGAATAGTTGTTAGTTAAAACTCAGCAAACGAACAGAAGTAGAGTAATCCTTGTGAAATTTTAACACGAGAGATAGCGGTTTTTTGCTAATTAACTATTATTTCTGTGTGAACAAGATAATAGAATTGCCTTTCCACGTTTACTCTGAGTACTTCTAAAAAAATCTTGCCTGAGATAATAGCTGAAAATCAAATAAATAAGCCATTTATTACACGCAATCCTTGAAAAATTATAATTAGTGTTTTACTTCATATTTCAGTTATTGTTGAAAAATCCCAAGTTATTCATGGCTGAAATATTTTATTTATTTTGTCTATTACATGGACGTTCGGACTTAAGGCCCAGCATCAGCACCTGAACTACACCATAGATACAAATATATTTCCATCCCATTTTGAGGGGGTTTGTCGTCAAAATGGTTTAAAAACCTCCACCACTATCTGCGTGAGCCCCAACTATTAAATGGTGATTATTGCTTTATATCAATTTGTCAAGCAGGGGAGGCCGGAAAACAGTACCCCCTCAAAATGGGATGGAAATATATATGTACCTATGGCAGTCCAGGTGCTGATGATGCGCCGTAAGCCTGAAACATCCATGTAATAGACAAAATAAATAAAATATTTCAACCACGGATAACTTGGGATTTTTCAACATTTTGGATAATAATTGTTACAAAGCGTGGATTTTAAGAAAAAGATGATTTCATATTTCAGTACAAAAATGTAAAATTTTCTTATCAAGCTTTAATGTTATACAGAAAATATTTATTTTAAAAAAATGTAAAACAGAACAGAAAAAAGAAACTACTTAACACAAACTTTATTTACAGATCATTTACATAATAAAGTTATTACAAAATTTACAAGAATGTATTTCATGGCATCTTGGAAACATTCGAGTACGGTAGAATAAACAAAATCAAAATAAATAATCTCAACGAAACATTGTTACCGTTCAAAATGGCAGCTCATTTTGGGAAAAATTCAAAATGACGCCATCAAATCTAATTACAGTATTGTATACAAAAGATACAACAAAACCTTTTTTTTTTTTTTTTTGTAAGACATTGTACAATGTTTGATAGATACAATAATTGTTTTACCTACTCTCAACCTATTTATATAAATTTTTTGATCACATTTTATCGTAGGTTGAGCATTCATCATTACAAACCAAGACAGTCCCAATAATGGATAATGTTCAGTTTTTCTGTTCAAATAAGCTTTTATTCCGATCTCCTGTTTGTTTTACTATTTCAGATCTATTCTTTTTTCAAGTCTGAAATTTTTAATAAAGATGATGAGAAGGCATTGTTCGTTCATTAATATTAATCCAAATGAGGCATAGTTTTCATTAAAATAAAAATAAAAAGCTATTAAGGACTAAAATTATTCTTATATAGTCGCCTTAGCATGATAATAAATTATAAGAATTAACATCTTTCCCAAAATCAGGCAAAATTAATTATTTTTTATAACAATCACTTTAATTACTAGAGTGCTCGCTATTAACAAAAGTTGACCTTTATATAAGGAAGCATTTCGGCATATATAAATATTTTAAAGTTTTGATTAGAACTATGCAAAAATCCGTACTCCATTAAAAAATGGTTTATGTTTTATTTTTCTTTAATTGAAGCAGATCACCAGTTAATTCATACCGACATCCATTCATCGATTGAAACATCAAAATTTCCAATGTTATTATCACAAGGAAATTTGTTTTAATTTGATAAAATGAAAAAATTTTCATTTCAACCCTGTTTAACTGTGGCTGCAAGTAAATTTATAATTTTTCAATTAATTATGCAAGGCATAAATAAATTTTCAAAAGCCCAATTTCTTGTATTTTTTCTTTCAATTTGATCTCATTAAGAGAGAAAAAAAGAAAAAAGCATGCCTAATTTTGTCAATTTATGTAAGAACCCCAAGAAGAAAAACAACCGGATAAAAAATAAATCCTGAAAAAAAGTTTCAAAAAGAGAATTTTGACGACACAATTTCTGAATAACAAAATAATTATAAAATATCAAACAAATAGAATTACCTTAGATCAAAAAATAAGACTTTTTTTCAGTAATGAATAAATTTATCACAAAAAATCCATAGACGAATGTTTAAAAAAAAATTTTTACATAACAAATATATATACAAAATAATAAATTATTATTTCATGAGAACAAAATAATAAACTGTATTTAACAATTGTAAAATACAATGTTCACAATACAAATAACCCTTCAATAATGTATAGAACTAAACTTGAAGAAAAGAAACAAACCAAACATTTTATCACTGTTGTTTTGCACGTTTCTGTCACGTTCTGGCGTAATAGGCACACTTTTGCAGGTTTGTTTGAGAGAACACGGGGGGGACAAACGAAAAAATAAGGCAGTATCAATTTCACAAATTCGTTTCATTAATTGAAGTGGAACCTGAAGGTGAACGGCGTCCCGCCGTGAAACTGATGGAACTGTTGGAACGGATTGAAGCCATCGTGATTCCCGGACTCGGGGTCCAATGGATCCTCGCCGTTGTCGAATTTCGACCGTTTTTCTATTTTTAAAAAAAAATTGAATTTATAAAAATAAGCCCTGTATTAACTAACTAAGTTGATCTTACCTTCATTCGTGAGGACTTCTTTGGCAGCAGCAATGTCGATGAATTTTTTCTCTGCCTTCTTTTTCTCAGGACCCTCTGGGAAATTATCAGGATGCCATTGTTGCGCCGCTTTCCTTTAAGATAGAATATTTAAAAAAATTATTACCATCTGTGAAGAAGGATTCAGATACTGAACGGCAAGAGCTGGGATTCACTTCGAAATACGTAAATATAGCATACAATTACAGATGTTTCTTAACAAATGAATTTAATTATTAATGATTATTTGGAGATAGTGAGATGCAGTCTTGTGTGATATAGATTTTTTTTTTTAAATTTCTTTATCATGCCAATATTTCGTGTTCTTTATTTAGATCATCTTCAGGGCCTGAGATTTACAAACATTGTTTAGATTAATTAATCTTTTATGTAAGGTTTTGGTCGAATTGAAAAAGTAAGTGCCATGAGCGGGATTCGAACCCATGACCTTCAGCTAAATACACTGCTGCTCTACCACTTGAGCTATCGTTCGATCCCGCTCGTGGCACTATTTCATTTCAACCAAAACCTTACATAAAAGATTAATTAATTGAAAGAAGTAATTTGGTCAATAGACCATTACATATAATCGATTTTTTTTTTTTTTTAGATTATACAAATACATGTAAGATATAAAATTGAATTTATACAATGATTTTCACATTTTACATGTATTTGTATAATCTAAACAATGTTTGTAAATCCCAGGCCCTGAAGATGATAAAAAAAATCTTTTTCTAAATCTACATCACACAAGACCGCATCTTACAATCCCAAAATAATCATTAATAATAGTCACTAAATACTACACACTTAATTATTCCGAAATCGTGAGATGCAGTCTGGTGTGATGTAGGTTTCAAAAAAACATTTTCTTTATCATGCCAACGTTTCGATCTTTATTGAGATCATCTTCAGGGCCTGGGATTTACAAACATTGTTAAATGTAAACAATCTTTGTAAATCCCAGGGCCTGAAGATGATCTCAATAAAGATCGAAACTTCACTAATTTCGAGGTCCACTTGACCAATTATTATATTACAATTAATTCAGGTTTTTTAGTTGAGATAAAAAAGTCAATGGCACGAGCGGGATTCGAACCCACGATCTTCGGCTAGATACGCCGCTGCTCTACCACTTGAGCTATCGTGACCTCGATCCACTCGGACACTAACTTCCCATCTCAACCCCACCTTTTGGATATTCCCTCCTTTTTGCCATTTTTCAAATGTCGTGTAATCGGATTGGATTCTCCTCGGCGACAAATGAAATGGCCACGGAGAGCTTTAGTGAAGTATACTTCATTTAAATTCATTGAATTCACTAATTTCATGGTCCACTTGACCAACTAATACATTACAATTAATTAAGGTTTTTCAGTTGAGATAAGAAAGTCAATGGCACGGGCAGGATTCAAACCTACGATCTTCGGCTAGATACGCCGCTGCTCTACCACTTGAACAATCGTGTCCTCGATCCACTCGGACACTTAACTTCCCACCTCAACTGAATCTCAACTCGATTGAAAAATGCCATTGACTTTTTTATCTCAACTAAAACCCTTAATTAATTGTAAAGATCGAAACGTTGGCACGATAAAGAAAATGTTTTTCTAAAACCTACATCACACCGCATCTCACGATTTCAAAATAATTATCGACTAATGGTCACTAATCACCACACATTATTACACACTATTGTTTTGTTATAAATGTTGTTGCTAAGGCTATTGTTCCATATGAAAATATTTGTGCATACATTTATTATATTATAGAATCTCTACAATTTATTTATTCTGAAATTCGCAAATTTATCTATATATTATTTATATGTATATATTACATTTATTTATTTGTGTAATGCAGTAAATAACAATATGTCAAAAATAAGAAAAAAGCCAACTCCTACAGACCACCCATGCAAAAATGTTAAAAATATCATTTACAATCATGAATGCTGTATGGTGATGTAAAGTAGGGAGCTATGTCCTAGTATTCCTAGTATATTACACATGTGATAATAATTAATTTTAAATTATAAGGATATTTATTACGTAACAATTTCTCTTCTAGTGAATACTGTAATAAAACCAAGTGTCAATCTGATGTGTATGTAGTTCAACTAATCACTTTAATTTTTTTTAAATTATTTTGTAAACATTAAAAACATGGATAATAAGTGTAAATATTAGAGAAAAAATAAATTGTTCTTTTCTAATCCCCGCCCCCAACATGGTAATATTTGCTTCATTTATACATTGGGCAATTAAAAGTCATCAAAATAGATTTTTGAAATGGCTTAGAATACAAAAATTTTAAATAAGTCATGACAACAGTTGAATCAGGTCAAGGGGAATTAGGCAAAGCGGGTTTGCATACTCAGACTTTTGCCGGTCACAGTTGACTTAAGCGTGGAGTCACAATCTAAAGCCCTACAAAAATGAGCTTGTAAGTGATAAAACACTATTTGCTATTAATTAGAACCTAAATGCAATCAACCAATCACGTTTCATGAAAAAAAATCATAGCTAGGTGATGGTCTTGGATTTCAGTCCTACATTGAATGTATTAATACGCCAACGCCTCTATTTGGCTAGTCGCAATACGTTTGCCTGGCGCTACTCTGAAGCAATGCTGAATCAGGATCGGAGGAGAGCACAACTGTCATTGACAAAGGAAGATATATTATGAGGAATAAATGAGGTGCATGAATGGTACAAATGCACTTCCCTGTGACACTTCCACTCCCGAAAGGCAAAATTCATATTATTTTAGATAATCCTTGACCAATTCAGGGGAATCATACCATTAAGTCAAAGCAAAGGACTGGGTAGAAAGTATTATAACATGCTAATTTGTATAGGAGACCTGAGAGTCGTGATCAAATACTTGTGACACATCAGTACCATTCTGGTTCTTTAGATCATAGAATATCTCATTTAAAAAAAAAAAAAATACCTATAAGCCTTGGTGATTTCCTTTTTAGTTGCCGTCCTCTTCACACCAAGAATCTTGTAATAATCGCGTTTTTCCGACTGCTTCTGCAGCTTCTGAGCTTTCTGGATGCCCTCTTTGGCCCTCGGGTAGCCTTCGTGGCGATCGAGCACCTCGTGATAGTCTCGCATGGCTGAAAACGAACCATCTCAATCACCAAAAATAGAAAAATTGATGACACACTTACCTTCGTCGAACATGTCCATTGCGATGTAAGCTTCGGCTCTGTCACACAAAACCTCCGGATCTCTTGAAATATCCAGTGCGCTTGAACAGGCGCTGATGCTCTCAGAGGGCTGGTTGTTTTTCAGATAGCAGCCGGCAAGCTTTGAGTACGCAGTGAAACGAATCATAGGCACTTTTTCTTCAGTTTTTAATACCTATTGTTTTTTAATTAGTTAAATGATTACTTTATAAGTTATAAATAACATACTTTGTTAGCATTAGTAATGCAGGTCTCAAAATCCTCACGTTCAAACGCATTCTGTGCATCTGTGAAGAACTTGTCTATCTTTTTGACTTTCTTATAATGAGGGAAACAGTCTTTGTGTTCAGGATCTAGTTTAAGGCAGTCTCTTGATTCCCTGGAAAGAAAAATTGACAATTTACAGACCGTCCAGCCGGTTAAAAGGACTTTTTAAACCTACTTCAAGCTTTCGGCAGCTTGACCGAGTTGGTAGTGTAAGATTGCAAGTTTGAAAAAACCCTCTGTGTTATCGGGGATGAGTTTCGTAGTCGATCTGAGATCCAAAATAGCTGCCAAGGGGTCGTTCAGGGCTACGTAACATTGAGATCTTAATTCCCTGAGATATGACGACCAAGGGCACACCTAAAAAATTCATTAATAATAATTAATAATATTTTGAAGCATATAGACTATATATTTTAATTAGAAACCCATAAAATAATTATATTTGAATTGAATTATTGAATATATTATTGAAAAAAATGAATCAGACAGAACAGCCAAATTTGTAATCAAAAATAAAACTACAACTTCTTACAAAACATTAAATTAATTTGACATATTGATAAATCTTTTGTCAAATGAAATAAGATTGATTTATATTTATTTTAGATAAGTAACAAACCTCAATAATTTTTGATAAAAGGTCAACGGCTGTGCCGTAATCCTCAGAATTCATGTAAGCTTGGGCATGAGCAATGTCTGTCTGGATGTTTTGTGTCCTTACATAATTGTTGTAAGCATCTCCATTGTTCTCTTGCTGATACTGTAAATGGATGGTTAAATATTATTTGAGTATAGAATCACACGTTATTTATAAATTTAAGCAATTATTACTGACTATGTACAAAAAGTCTTCTTTTGCCTCGTCGAGACTGCCTTCTTTGAAATACACCATCGCCCTTTGATGACGGGCCTGCGAACACGTCAATCGTTATGAACAGGTTAAAAAGAGTAAAAATAAATACAACTTACCCCGGTGAAATCTGGTTTAAGTTCGAGCACCCGGTTGAAATCCGAGATTGCGAACTTTGCTTTTCCAAGGGCCAGGTATACTGTGCCCCTCTTGAAGTAGGTTAGATAATTTCTAGGGTCGCCCTCTGAAACGAATCCATGTTAATTTGAAATGTAATAATTTAATAAATTTTTGTGTGTGGTGGAAAGCACAACATACCAACGGCGGCATGAAAATGAGAGAGAGCGTCTTGAAGCTGTCCTCGGGCAAGCAAGTCTCCACCCAGGGCTAAATGCTGCCTCACCTCCTCCTGACTTGTACCTTTTGTCCCTTTAACAATAACACAAAATCGATCTTTTATCATTTTTATCACACAAATTTAAACAATTTAAATGCTTAATGTTTTAAATATGCTTAATGTTTTGTTTTTTAACTTCTATTGTAGTTAAATAACCATCATCAGGATTTTCATGATCCTATAATCATACAGGATTTCTTAAGCCAGTGATGCTGTCAAGTTTTGAGCAAAATTTTTTTTTTAAATTGTTTTCAGCAATTTGACAAAAACTCTCTCTAGACCACCTAGCCTGAGTATTGAAATGTTATGCCACCTAATTTTGGTAATACAGAGAAACTCATTTATTCACACACCGATTATCCATACCCGTTTGTTAAAATATTTTTTATAAATTTTTCATAATTCTCAATATACATAATTATTTTTTTAAATTCATAATTCAACTTCAAGATCTTTAATTCGTTGTTTGAGATTTGTAAAGGCCACCAAATCGCCCTTCCACCAGTCACATGATCGAGGAGGCCAACAGTCACATATATACATATATATGTTGGCTTCCATGGAAAAGGTTTTTTTTTATTACATATATTTTTTACGTATAAATTTTTCTTGAAATGCGTGTCCGGACTTATTAATTATTCTTTTGTCTTAGTTGAAATGAAAAAATTAATTCTATGAGCAGGATTCGAACCCACAACCTTCGGCTCAATACGCCGCTGAGAAATCGTAACTATCTATTACTTCGATCCTGGTCCCTTCAAGTCCGGTAAAACAGATTTCTACTGTAAGTATAACGGAACAATTTAGGCAATGTTCAGAGAGATGTGCCATACAATAAATAAAAATTGATGTCGGGTTTAAATAACACAGTGATTGTTTTGTGCTTGAAAACATAAAATTATGATTTGGTTGTTTTAATATAAATCCACAAATGGCACAAATGTAAACTCCGATGAATATGGACCGCAAGAATTATTTCAAAGCAGTTAATGCTGACAATTTCAAAAATTGTTGCTAAGACAACAATTATTAAGAAACATGTACCTTGATTTGAAAAAAATTCAAATTATTCAATAACAAGGTGTCAAATAAAAGCTCAGTACTAGTTGAAACTTAGCTCTAATTGTTGGGTTGTCCAGAAAACAATGCAGGTGGTTATAAAATAAAACCAATTAAGTAAATGATTTTAGACATTTTGATTAATTAATATACCCTTCAACCTCTAAATACGCTTCTCACAACGTGTTGATTGCAACTTCTCTCTACCCTCTGAATAGAATTTTGAGTCTTTATTATTAACAAATTCTGTAAATGCATTTTCTAACGACTGTTGATCAATAAAGTTTTTATGTTTAAAATGTAGTCCAGGTAGTTGGTAGGCAAGACATCTGGAAAATAAAAAGGGTGAACAGTTTTTGTGTTGTCACATGTGAGAAATGGGGGCCTAGCATTGTCGCGTTACAGAATCAGCCTTTTTCGATTGACCAAAGATGGCTTCAATAATGCCAATTTATGGTGCAATGCTTAAATTTAAGAGCAATACATTTGCATTGATTATTTCACCAGTATTCAAGAAGCTGCAGTAAAGCAGCCGAAGACCACCAAAAAATCACCATCACCTTTTGTGATGAGTTGGGGGCTTTGGAAAATGTGGTGCTGCTTCTCCTTTGTCGAACCCCACTATTCAGAAAGTCTGCTGTTATCTTAGAGAATCCACATGTAACAATTCTATCCAGAAAAGGTTTGATTCTATTTCAGCAAAGAAGTGTTTCGCAAACTTTATATCGATGATTTTTTTGGCGGTCATTTAATACATGAGGAACCCAACTTTTGAGCTTTTTCACCTTTCCAATTGACTTGAGGTTCAGGTTAGGTCAATATACAAACTGAAAGATTCTCTGCAAGTTCTCGAACAGCTGTTTTGGGATTATCTTGAACCAAAGCTCTCTTAACATCATCATTTAGGGAAGAAGTCCTTCCACGGTCTTTTTTGTCACCCTCTCGAAATTTTTTCAACCATCTCTGAAAGGTGCTCTTGCTCACACTGCCATCGCCCCAGACTTCATTAATGTTTCTGGCTGTTTGGGCACCTTATGAACCAAGTTAAAACGCGTAAAACGAAATTACGTGAAAATCACGTGTTGTCCTGTTAGTAAAGACTGAATTATTCCCAAGTAATGCAACGCTACTGAGGTAAACAAACATTTTGTTTATAAGAGGATTAAAAAGTGATGACATTTGTAAAAAAAGAATCATCCATGAAATTTAAACAGTTTATTATATAGAGGGGTAATTGAAAGGAAACATGAAAACCTGCATTATTTTTAGACAAATTAATTAATTCAACTAGCTTTTTTTAATAAAGTAATTAACAAATGCTAAACGCTGAAAAGACCCAACTTGAAATTAGACAGTAAAACCTTTAAATTTAAAATTTCAGTAATAAGGTTTTTCTTTTTGCTTTTTTAGACCAATACAAATAAATGATTAATGGTATTGGAATTTCATAGACATAGCAAAACAAAGATTTTTACTCTGCAATAAAATTCACTTATTCAATGTACAATGAATTGATTTGTTGTATAAGATGAGTAACCTTAGATGATAAAATGACATGTGAAAGAAACAGAAAAACCCTTAAATGTAATATGAAGACTGCTTGGGTTATTTATTTATTTATTTTAATTTAAACAAAAAAATAGTTGAAATTTGAATTTGCTGATTCCAATCTTTTTGAAGCATATAAACTGATTTCAAATATTTTTTGTAATATGAGATATTTTACATGATGAATAATATTATTTTATTTTAAACGAATGGTGCTATCATAAAGACAAACAAGTTTTTTTGGTCTTGTTCGACCAAGCTTGAGCAAATGTTCAATAATGGCCGAATTGCAAAATCCTAAACAAACAAACTGCAATATTGACATCAACAGAATAAAAATGGTGAAATCATCGTAAACTTGCAGATAAATAGGCAATTCCTTCAGCACGATGACAGATATATATGAATTTATTTTTATTGAGGTCATTGAAAAAATATGTAAATTAGGTCAAAGATCACATAAGCAATAAAAAAATTGATCTATTAAATTATTTAATTTTATAAAAAAATCGATCTATTAGCCAAAGAGGCGACCATTAAAGAAAAACCCATAAAACTCCAATAACTGGGGGCCAAATTATTTATTAAAAAAAGAAGGTATGACAAGATGGCAAAAGTGATACGATGCGGTCAAAGTGCAAGTATTATCATTCTTTATTCAGCAAAATCAGTTTCAGGAATGAAAAAGAGAGAAGTCTACTTGAAGGCTAGCCATGGTGTTTTAGATCGTATTAGTACTAAATCGAAGAAAGATCATTGCCAAATTGTGCAACTCCCTATGTTGTTGAGAATTTTGAGCATATCTTGTTAGAATATGAAAAGTATGAGGAGGGGTAAAAGGGAGTGTTTTTTGAAAGCAGAAGGGATATATAAAATTATTGATATATAAAAAATTTCATTATAAGCTTGCTACTTTCAGAAGTTATACTGTAATAAAACCTTATAAGCGCAGTGTATTTTCTCGTTCAATATTTATTTAATTACATGCTTTACTTACTCTAAGGTATAAAAACCAGGCAATCATATTTTGTTGTTTATTTCATACTACATGTATTTTTATTGTTATATAAATGATGACTTACTTACTTTAATATAAACGTAATTAAACATGATCAGAAATTCGTGAGTTTTAATAAAAATTATTGGTTTAATTTTAATCTATCACTAAATGAATTTTCAGTGTTATGGTGACTGTTCTTTCAAATCATCAAAATTACATATTGACCATGATTCATCATCAATCCCCTCATTGTGTAAATTTTACAATTTCAGATTCATAGTAGTTTTGGTAGTGCAAACCTTCTAATGACATACTAAACTGTAATTTTTTTTCTTTGTAATGCAAAATCTATTGAGTTTTTGTTCAGGATACAATGGTCTTTGAGTGACCAACTAGAACTTACATTCAAATATGGCCAAATTGTATCAACATACACAGACAAACCGCAATATTTACATCCACAGAATAAGCTACAATGGTGATAGCATTGTAAACATGTAGTTAAACATACATTTCATTCAGTAGTTGAACTGAATTCATAAACTTTCCAATGTCATACAGCAGATTTCAATGCATCACCTTTTACAAACAAATTATTGCATTTAACAGTTGAGAAATGTTAGAAAGATTAATAATAATAGAATGGATAAAAACTTTAGACAATATTTTTTATAATGTGAAATTGAAATTGATATTCCATCGTTAATCTGATGTGTCTAACGAGGGCAACCAGGTTGATTTGTCATAGATTTGGACCAGACTTTTTTTGGTGATACTACACTCCGAAATATTCGGACACGTATCCATCTTGTGAATGGGTCCGTTTCGAAAAAAAAAAAAAAAAAAAAAACTGAAATTTTCTGTTCTACTTAAGAAAATCAACTATGTGAATATATCATTTACAGCATTTTTTTTTTTTTTTTTTTTTTAATGTAGATTGCAATAATAATCTAGTAAAAGCTATCAAAATTATAAATAACCAAAAAATTTCTAAAAACTAAATATTTTTCAAGTAAACGGTCAAAAAAATTTTGTGGAAGTAATATGAAATTTTGTTTTAGCACCTATAGAGATTGCTAAATATAAATTGTTGTTTGAATTTAAATTTAACAATTTTTTGACCCCTAAAATTTTTAAGATTTTTAACAAGTCGTTCTAGGAATGTCTGAACGAAACAGCTATAATTCAAAATTGTTCATTGTTATTCCAATTAATTATTCTTTTTATCTAAGATTTTTGGTTGAGATGAAAAAGTTGTATCACGACCGGGATTAACTACTGAACCACACTAATTTTTCATCTCAACCAAAAACATTAATGATGACTAAACAAATATGAATTAACTTAATTTTTATACTGACGTGTCTAAGTGAAAATTTTTAGTTGCTTTTGTTATTTACACACAAAACATGTCAAATTCAAACATTTTATTTGTTCAAATATTCCAGTGATATAATAAACTGTAGGATAATTGTTTGTTTTCTGTAAAGCAAAATCCATCGAAATGTGTGGTGTTTGGTGGCCAATGTTTGTCTAAAACCTATATCACACCGGATTTCAACTCACGATCTCCAAATAATCCATCGAAATGTTGCAAACCATAAAAATTGTTTTGTGCAGTCCAACTTGAACATATGTTCAAAAACAGCCAAATTATGTCATACACAAACTATAAAATTTACATACACAGAATAATTGACAATGATGACACCATTGTAAATTAGTAGATAAATATACAATTCCTTCAATAGTTGAACTTTGAATTGATACAACTTTCAAATGTCATATGGTAGATTTCAATGTATATTCTTTTACATACAAATTATATATTGTTGTGTTTAACTTTTGAGAAATATTAGAAAGATGTATAATAACAGAAAAAAAAAACCTTAACAATATTTTTTTGTAATGTATAATGAATTCACATTTGTATTCCATTGTTATTCTGACGTGTTTTAAGTTCACAAAATTGCCTTATTTGTCAATTTACACCAAAAAACTGGACAAATTCTGGCTCTAGGAAGTTTGGCTGGTTAAAAACTTCTGGTGAAACACTGAACTGTTTGAGACATTTTTTTGTAAAGCAAAATCCATCAAGATGTTGCACAGGATGCAATGGTGTGCAGTCCACCTTTAATATCGTTGACACCATGTTAAAGTGACGAATATGGATTGTCTCCACTTTTCACATTCGTCACTTTAACATGGTGTCAACGATATGTGCAAAAATGACAAAAAGGTGAAATCAAAACAAAAAACCTCAAATTACAATATTTAAATCCATTGATTAAACAACAATGGTGATACAGGTTGTTATAAAAGACAAATAATCTTAATTGTTATACTGATGTGTCTAAGTGCAACAATGTAGTCGTTTTGTTAAATTTTTTTTATATAATTGTTGTTAATTTTGTTATTTGTGGGATAATTTTTTTTTGTAATGCAAAATCCAAAATGTTGCATAGGATACAATGGTCTTGTGCAATCCAACTTGATCATATGTTCTAAAACGACCAAATCATGTCATCATACACAGCCTGCAATACAACAAAGGTGATACCATGGGTAAACTTGCAGATAAATATACAATTCCTTCAGTAGGTGAACTTGAAAACTTTCTGATATCATTTGGTACATTTCAGTACATCTTCTTTTACGTACAAATTATGTGATGTAATTTTGTTGAATTTAATTTTTAAGAAATGGTACAGTTGTATAATAGCAGAATGGAAAAAAAAGAAAATAAGTCGAAAATATAGAAAGTGCGTTTTATTTATATTGCTATATTGAAAAATAATGGCATTTCGTTTTCCAAATTGAATTACATTATATATTTTTAATGTTAAATAAGTTGAAAGTTGTAAAAAAATGGGTAACCTTAGTTGTTAGAATGACGTGTCTAAAACAGATTGAGAACCTCTCAGTTCAAAATCGTGACTGCTATGTTAAATTTTTGCTATTTACACCAACAAAACATTCCAAATTGAAATATTCAGCGAGCATGGTTTTTATATATTTTTCCAGGCAAGTCTTCGAGTGTTAAGAATGATCCTGTCATGATGTCGCGTCTGTTTATAAATAAAACAATAAAATTAAATAATCGTAAATACCTCCTAGGAATAAATCTACGGCGAACAGGACAATCCACGCCGAGTTGAGCTTGGAGGTAGAGGCCTGCCAGTATTCCATGTCAGCGAGCCCGGATCAACTGATTATTTTGGAATTTTCGCTGGAGGGTCTCGTTTTCCCGTGTTCGGCTCCTTTAAAACAACTGTGGAGCATTATCTCAGAAGAGTGTCGAAAACCGGAATGAAAATTCGTGGTCTACTCCGATTGGTCAGGGCCTGGAGGGGGTGGCGGGACCGGCGGCCCCCAGACGTCCTCGATCTCACGTCCGCTCCATTTGTCGACGTCATCTGGTTAATCTCACGTCCCCTCCTAATCGACACCAAAAACGTGATTTCAGGTCGATTTTCCCAACATCTCTGTTCTTTTATAAACAAACATTTATAAATTATCCTAAACGATTCAAAAACATTTTCCTGTTAACTGCAATAATTCTGCTCAATTTCGAAGTTTTGCATCAAACGTCCTTAATCATCCAACAATAAAGGGTTTTAAGCTCTCCTCACCATTTTACAGTCATCTTGTAGTCGCCTCCTTTCTTGAGATCAAAAAATGATGCGGAATATTCCTTAGCTTCGATTAAAGGATGGATTTAAGCTCAAGAACAGCCCCTACTCAATTTCCACCCATGATTTCCTTGCATATCCTCCAACATTTACATCTACATTTGGTGGTAATTCAGCCATCCTTTTCTCCATTCTGATCTTTTCATCCCCAACAAAAACTTGCTGGAGGAGTTGGTATGAAAATTAGAGCCCTATACTCTCTTTAATCTGCACAGATAACGCTGTTGTTCCACAAGGTCCTATCCTCTTCTCAATTTACATTCATGATTTCCCTCAAACATATCTTTAACTCTCTCTCTCTCTCTCTCTCTCTCTCATTGTTAATTGTAAGAGAGATTGTTCGGGATGTAAATTTGTGAGATTTTTTAAATAAAATCATATTCATTTATTTATTCGTTCATTTTCTCTTTTTATCGACCCAATTCCAGCAGTCAGCTTAACCATGTTTATACGAGGGATAATATTGTTTGTAAAATGTATTTATTAATTTAATTAATAAATTTTATTACTATTAAATTTTTTTTTCAAATTGCACTTCATTTTATATCGGCTTGGTCTATCAGATGTGTTTTGGCATTTTCAGAGTGTCAGTGTGCCAAAACTCATATCCAGCGAAATAATTGATAAAGAACAAATTAAATTTATTTTTAACATAAATTATTATGCCAATTTCCCTAAATTTGCAGGTTTGCACAAACAAAATCCTTTTCGGAATGTCTGACACGTCCTGAATATTTTTTTAAAAATCTTCTATGATAATACCACCTAATTTTCCATTAGAACTTGAGATGATTTTGTCATTTAAGCACTTTTTGATTTATAAAACGAAAGCAAGTTTTTGCAAATAAGTTTTTATCACTGGACCTTAAAAGTAAAAAAATAAAATTCCCATTATGAATTGTTACAAAAGGGAATCATGATTGCACAATTTTCCTTTGTGTGTGTGTAATATAAGTAATAATTTGTTAATATATTATTATTTATTGTTATTTTAAATAATTTTTTAAATAGAACAATGTAGGGGGAAATTGGCTCTTAACAAAATGGACATTTTGTCTCTAGTCTACCAACATACAATTATAACTAAAAACCCCAAATCATCCCAAAGAAAATTGTTTAATTTGGCTGAACTATTATTGCAATTATAAAGAATTACTTTTTATTTATACAAAACATACAAAAATTTATGACTAGTGAAGAAAAAAAAAGAGAGGCGTTGATTATTTTCCCTCCCATAAACTCTTCCATTGGTTATCCCAGTTCTTTCAACTCCTTGCTAGTGAAAGTCAGTTGAATCCCTTTGTAAAGAAAATGGATAATACGCTGTGCACGAGTAACAAATTGATTGCTGAGATGCCACATCAGGCTGAAAATAAATCTAAAGGCGAAAACTTAAAACACATATCTGATCTACGTATCCTTTTTCATGAAACCTGACCACTTTTGATCAATTTGGTCTGATTATACTTGCTTTTTTGGTCTATAAATGTGTTTCGGTCTTTAACCGTACTTAGGGGAAAAAAGTAGGGTGAGGTTAACCAATGATGTGGTGAAAGGCCAATATTTATATGAACTCTAACCTAAACTCTCACATTATATATAGGCATTTTTAGTGAAACAAGAAGTCCTTTTTTCATGAAATTAACATATTTTTTTATTTTGTTAATGTTTGGAAAAATCTCAATCCAAGAATGTTCTTTAAATTAATTAGTATTTTTCAGTTACAAGAAAAAAATTTTTAAATGTTATTTTTGAGGTTATCTTTAATGATTCTTGTCAGTATTGATATTTCATCAATTTCCTTTTTCTTTAATTCCTAATCTTTAAATTAGCCCTTATTGTGGCAATTTAATCAATTGAGCAGTAATTTTAAACATTTAAATCTTAAATCGTATTCACCCTCAGGGTTCCAGTGTTTATGAGAAAAAGCCCATTTGTAAGTATGTCGGGTTCCAATGCAGTACACTAGATTTTAACCTGAGACCTTTACCTTACAGTGATGAACACCGTGTCAACACTTACACTGTTGCGGCCACTGACACTCCCAATAAATCTTATTATGTCATGAATACATTTTTCTTTTGTTTTTATAGTATCAACAGATCGTTGATGTTCATGCATCTTACACAATTTTCTATTTAAAAAATGGTTTTTCTTGACTGATATTACTTAGCGCTTGAATTTCAAAAGATATTTTCAGGCTTCCAGACCTTCAATGTTATTCAGAGCAAATTATATGATGTTTTGATGAATCAAGGTTTATTCATTTTCACCGTCAAGTTTAATATAGCAAATTTATTTCAATGTGTAATTTTTTTGTTAAAAAGATTCTAGTGTAGTTGTATCAGCTCCAACAGGATCAGGAAAGACAGTTCTGTTTGAACTTGCTATTTGTCGATGTCTGATCAAATGGAAAAATAATAACACCGACGGTAAAATCGTGTACAGTAAGACATCCTGTTTCCAATTTCAATTTGATATAGCTGAATTTAGTTTCTCTAGTCCGCTAATTTTATAGTGGCACCTGTAAGAGCATTGTGTTCTGAAAGGATGGTCGATTGGAAGAAAAAATTCCATTTTCACGGACTGAACATCCTTGAAATCACAGGGGACTCGAATGAAAAGATGAATTTGCAAATGATCCAGAGTTACAATCTGATTCTGACAACACCTGAGAAGTGGGACTCTATGACAAGAAGATGGCGTGACCACAGTGCTTCCATCCAGGACATCAGACTGTTTCTGATTGATGAAGTAAGTAGTAATATGCAGGAGGGCTTAACATCCAACTACTCATTGGATGTCACTGACAATGGGTCAAACCACTTTACAATACATTTTTCATACTAAAATCCATTAAAAAACCATGGGCTCTGCCGGGATTCGAACCCAAACTGCTACCGTGGCAAATACGCCTTGGACGCCCTAACCACTCAGCTACTGTGGTCCCCCATTGATCAAGTAACATTTAAGGAATAAAATTGATAATTTGTTCTTATTTAAATCTTTATAGGTGCATTTACTAAATGATGATAAAAGAGGGCCAACTTTAGAAGCAGTTGTTTCAAGAATGAAAACCATTCAAGTACCTAATGGGCAAAGTATTCGGTTCATAGCTGTTTCTGCGACAATACCAAACATTGAAGACTTTTCTGCTTGGCTAAGCACAAATGAAAAACCTGCAATATTTTATAAGTAACCAATTACTATTTTGACTTATTTTCTCTGATTTACGTGAAATTGTTAAGGTTTGGAGAAGAACTCAGGCCAGTGACATTGAATAAAGTCATTTTGGGTTATCCTTGCAAAGATTCAAGTTACAAATTCGACCTGAACTTGAACTACCGGCTGAAACAAGTGATCCGGGATTACTCTCACGGGAAACCAACACTGGTAAAAAAACATTTAAGTTGGAGTTTTTGAAAGTTCTGTTTAGATATTTTGCAGCACGAGAAAAGGAGTCATGCAGACAAGCAGCACATTGCTGCAAGAGTTAGCATACCATTTCACCGAAGAGCAGAAAAAAATACTGGACGATTGTTCGGAAAATATTCTAGACAAGAAATTGCAAGGTTGTCAAAATAATTTAATAAATAAAAAGACTTAGAAGAAATTTATTATTATTATTTTTATTTATTAAAGAAATGATCAGGCGAGGACTGGGCTATCATCATGCAGGTCTTACTTCTGCAGACAGAGCCAAAATTGAAGACCTTTTCAGATCCGGAAGCTTGCCTATTCTCATATCAACAAGCACACTTGGTATTGTATCATTTTATTCACACTTTAATTACAAAAATAAAAATTGAAATTTAATTATAGCCATGGGAGTAAATTTACCAGCACATTTGGTTATTATTAAATCGACGGAGTACTATGTCGGAGGACAATGGGTAGAATATGGGGAAGGACAGTTGTTACAGATGATGGGGCGAGCAGGAAGGCCACAGTACGATACAACTGCAACCGCAGTTATCATGACAAAAGAAAATCTTAAGGTAGTTGACTTTTAAATTATAATAGAATATTTATTTATTCATTTTTTGTAGGAGAAATATGAAAGATTAGCTTCAGGCAAGGATACCATTGAGAGCAACTTGCACAAGCACCTTATTGAGTTTCTCAACTGTGAAATAGTGCTAAGGACCATCACCGATGTTGCTGTTGCCATGCAGTGGATCAAATCGACTTTCCTATACATCAGGGTGCTTAAAAACCCAATGTACTATGGAATTCCCAAAGGTCTTACAGACCAGGGAATCGAAGCGAAACTACAAGCTCTTTGCTTGCGCGAATTGCACGCCCTTGAGAAAAATGAACTTCTAGTCAAATCGGATTTTGCTTACAACTTAGTTTCAACTGAAAATGGCAAAGTCATGGCGAGGAACTACATCGCCTTCGAAACAATGAAAGTCTTTATGAAGGTGCGTATATCGAATAACCGAAAAAAAAAAACAAAAAAAAACAGATCAATAATTATATTTTAGGTAAAAGGAGAAGAAAATCTTAAGGAACTGTTGAACCTTATCTGCGAATGTCAAGAATATCAAGACATCCAGCTGCGCATGAATGAGAGAAGTGTGTTGAACCTTTTAAATAAGAACAAACTCAGTGACACTATCCGATTTCCCATCGAAGGAAAAATAAAAACAAAACTATTAAAAGTCAATTGGTAACTACTGGTAGCTTTTTTTTATAAAGACAAACTATTTTTTTTTTTTTTTTATTGTTTTAGTTTAATCCAAGCAGTTCTTGGGTCAATACACATTCCTGATCCCTCGTTAAACCGTGAAGCAAGTGAAATAATGAGAATCACCGAAAGACTTTTGAAAGGTTAAATTCTATCATAAAGTTAACCTTATTTTAGTGAAATTTAAGGTTGAGGTTAAGAAATGAAACTTGTAGTTAACAGTTATAAAAATATTTAGGTTTGACTCAATACCTCTGGCAGAAAAATCACTTCCGTGCTTTATTTTCGGCTCTTATTCTTTACAAGTGTGCTACCTGCAAATTATGGGAAAATTCCAGATTTCTGACAAAGCAACTGCCCGGGATCGGACCTGCGCTTAGTTCATTGTTGGCATCCGCGTCGAAAACGACATTTCAAGCTGTACTCGATTCAAACCCGAGGGATCTCGAAAGGGTACGTTTTAAAACTTCCAATCTGAAAGAATTTGTCGCTAACGTCGTGTCTTTAGATAATAAACAGGCAGCCACCAATGGGCAACCACTTGCAAGAAGTGGTCCAGAGGCTGCCGATATACAACATTAACATGAATTTAAAGAGGTACAAGAAACGTATCGAGATCTGCGTATGCATTTCCAACGCTACCGAAGTGCAATATGGCAACACACTGCATTGCTCAAGCCTACTCGTTGCTACTCAAGACAACAGACTTCTTAAAAAGGAAAAACTATGGTCAGAATTGAATAAAATCTTAGACAAACATTTAAAAAATTGTATCTCTTTAAATATATATTTTAGTGATCAAGCGATACTCTCTCAAGGAGGAGAAATCTCATCTAGTATATACATTGACGATTTTAGCATAAATGAAGTCTATGCTTATATGATTAGTGAAACAATTGGTAAATCAAAAATCAGACTTTTAGATCTTCATTTTTTCATGATTGTAATTTTAGTCGGCATTGATGTAAAGGCAACATTAAACTTGCATACAAATCAGTGCATACAAGTAGAACCGTATAATGGTTTTCAAGCTGAAAATGAAACCAAAAAACAAAAACCTTCCAAGGTAAAATTAAAAATTAAATTAAATTGTATAGAAAATGGTGTTATTCACTTAGTTTTTCTTTTAGAAAGCAAATAAACCACCAGCGAATAAAAAAAATTTATTAGATTACCAATTTGTCCCAAGAAAAGTCCTTCAGTCAAACGTAAAAGAGGAGTCTGTTTCAAAATATTTCAAATCTCAAAAGCTTAAAATAAACAATAAATCTGAGAAAGAAAATGAAACAAGCGATAATCTTATTTGTCCGATAAAGTTTTCAAAACTTACTGTCCAAACTAAACCGCAAAAAACAAACAGCACACGAGAGTCTGATATTTGTAATGCCATTGAAGAAACAAAATTAGATAACTTTATATTGGACGAATTTCCTCTAGCTAGCCCAGAGACAGAAGACTTGGCTACAGAAATGTAATTCTTGCTTTAAATAGATTGTTATGATTTTCTAAAGAAATATTTTCACCTTTTAGTGCCAAGGAGAAATTTCCCATGAGCGAAGAAGATGAAAATGAATCAAATTTCAGTGAAGAAATGTTTCTTATCGATTATGAAAAAGGTGGTTTAAAAGTTTGAATTTTTATCACAAGATTAATAAAATAAATCATTTCATATCGTTTCAATATTAGAAGATGAATTAAAAAATAATCAACAAGATAGTGACAAGAATGAAAATGTGAGAAAGGATAAAAGTCCGCAAAAAGAGGGAAGCAATGGGAACAACAGTATGGACATTTGCTTCCGTCTTCTTGAAAACAATTCTTCAGAAGATAATTCCAATTCTGACAAGACTATCATCATTGATGGCATGAGCTTGAACAAACAAGGGATAAAAAATTTATCCCAACCACCTACGAAGAATTCAGACAGTCAAAATGGGCAAGTTTGGAAATAATATTTTTATTTGAATATATTAATTATTTTTAATATATAGATTTGATATTGATGAGCTGTTCAATTCACAAAATTTAACCAGCAGTCAAAGCCAAATTTCTGAAGCATTAAGTCAAAATTTAATACATCCGAATGTATGTAATGAAACAATAGATAAGAAATTGTTCTCTTATAATGATATAAGCTCTCCACAGAATCATTCTCCAGCAAATGAAAATTATTATAGGTAAACATTTTTTTCTTATAAATTTTGCAAGTATTGACTCTCACTCTAACTTGTAGTGAAGCCAACTTACACCAATTGGACCCAAATGTAGAAAGAAGTTTGCAGTATTTTTCTTCTCAAGCCCAGGAGTTTGAAGAGTTCAAAAAATATATGCTTGTCAATGTCTTCAAATGGAACAACCTGCCGTAAGTTAAATTGCTTTAAGTTCTTTCTCTTTAAACCACTTTTTACCGGAACCCAAAGCTTTTTCAATGACTCCTGTGCATATCCTTCAGTCCCAGGCTTCCTCTCCTAGGATTTGGAATCTCAGCCTACATAAGCCTTCGCACCAACAAGGACACTTCCAGCCTAGTTAGCAGTCCATCTAGACTAGTCTTAATCCTAGATCTGCCATTAGATTTTGTAATAGTCCTTTAACCTTTATTTTGTATGCTTCAAATAGGTGTCCTCATCGTACTTTCCTTGGCCAATTTACCCAAGGATTAATTTCTTCATCGCCCCACTGCCCTGGTACCCAGACAAGGGTAATTTTATTTTCCCCAAATCTGACATATGGTAAGATACTAGGAAGTGGGGATTTTTGTTCCCCAAGCACTGCATCCTTCTGGCTTATTGTACTTTCCTAGTTCTTTAGTTCAGTGCAATCAACTCAATCCTTTTACTACTAGGACATTGGTACAATTCTAGTCCTTGGCTTTTTTTCATAATTACCAGCTCCTGACCCATACTCAGTTTTGGAGCCATCTAAATACCATTTGTGATTTGCATTAACTTTTTCTTCCAGTCAGCTCTACCAGGTATTTTAATAAGAAATTTTGTCTTCTAATTCTGAATTTAGGAGTGGCATCAACTAGCCTAGAGTCTGCCTGAAGCTTTAGTTGCTCTTTGTTATGCGAGAAGGCTATCAGAGTCTGCCCCTGCATTATGAATTGTGATCCAGTATAAAGATGGTGGTAAATTCAAGACTTTCAGGGCAGCAGTCGGTGTCATTCTCATTGCCTCAGTGATGCTCAGAATCACTAGTCTTGACATTCCTTAGCTGTAATCTCTTTGTCCACCAAACCACTGATCCATTGCCATTAACAAAAAATCATCATAATTCATATGTAACAAACTTAACCTCTTTCTCTTTTTCCTTCATATTTTTTATCAATTGTAATAAGGTGTATAAGGAGGCAGTTGTGAGACTATAAAAATACAATTAGTATTTTTGAAATTTTCACAATTTTATGTCATGCAGTTGTCTTTATTTTCTAATTGTAGATCCCACTTAACTAGGTTAAATAAACAATAAAAAATAAAGAAAAGAAAATTACAAAAATAACGGAAAAGAGTTGGTAGTCATATCAATGTACTAAAATTTCAAGTTGGCATATTATTTACAACTAACAATTTATATTAACCTCGATTTGTTTACGTTATTTCATTTAAAGAAATGTCTTTTTTTAAATGTTGTTATCCTTAAGGTACATCCATATTCTTCGGTGAAGTACGAAACACAGTTGACTCGATTAACGCAGCACTGCATAGTTCTTCAATTTTCCCCCATTTGTTGCAATTCAAACCGGTCAACACGGTTAGGTTTTCCACAAGCTTGAGACATTTGCCATAGTATTTTGAGTCAAAGTGAGCCTGCAGGTGGGAAAGCGTTGTTATTATATTTTGAACAACAGTGCACAATGTGAGTTTAAGAACTGGAATAACTTTGTGCATCTTGATGTAATTCTCTCTTCCTCTTGACCTCATTTGTTTTCCAAGCCAGCTCCTGTAACGCGTCTCACAGTTTTCCTTGACAGTTGTTATAACCGACATTATCCCGTTTGAAACTAGCTGGAGCTTCTGTACAGCCTGAATCTCCTGTTTAGGTCTGTAAAGCGTATCCAACTGTATTGCCTCAATTTCTCTTAAAAGGCTTAATACATCATAGAATTCAAAAGAAACTTCAACTTCATCAGGACGTGGGAGTTTGTCTAAAGACTGTACACTGCTTACTAACGTCTTCAAAAATCTTATGAGTACAGATGTCACATGAAATTTTGATATATAAAATATTTCAGATTCAATTTGCATTATTCTTCTGATAACGAGCGATACGGTATTAAATGTAAATTTGACTAGAGAATCAGGTAAGGAATTTATTTTTATTTCATTATGGCTAATCCTGTCTCGAAGCCTCGGACCAGCAGGGTGGAAAAATATATCTAGAAGCATCTCAATTACTTCTTTAGGAAAAATATTTATAAAAATGTTCTTTCTTCCTTGATAATCCCTTTCGAGCATATCATCCAAAATAATGTAATATTCTGTCGACTGGGCTTTGATGAAGGATTCATCCAGCTGGCCGTATGAACAGAAAATAAGACGTAGGAAATGTTCGAACAAAGGCAAAATTAAGACAACGCTTGATGAAACATCTTTTTGCTTGTAGAGATCTACTGATAAACACCAGTAAAATTTTTGAGATTTTGGTATCGGAGAATGATCAATCAACTCGGCGAGATCATCATTAATGCTTTTTGTTTCTAACAAAAATGCCTGCTTGGTTAAATCTTGTGTTTTATCTCTTCGATTGAAACACGCATTTTTAAGAAAATCATTCAATTCATGGCTAACGGATGCAAGAAGGATGAACAACATCACGATAAGTGAAGGCTTGATTTCTCCTTCTGAGACGAACCCATGCCAGGCAATGTTCCTCGCGTTGATCCCTTTGACGTTTCCGATCAAAAGCCTCAACACTCGCACTTGAACCATGCCCAAAATCTCATCAAGCTCCGGCTTTTCAAGCAAGTCCTTAAGCAGAAACGGTACTTTGTCCCCTTTCAAGAGGAATATGTCGCCCAGCAATCTTTCAAATTCAGAAGTCAATCTGAGGATAATCAATAGGTCGAATTTACCCTGTTGAAACCAACCGTAAAGCTGTTTTATATCAACATCATTAACGTACAGACAGCAGTTGTGAAGCATCCTCTCGACATCTCGTTCCTCAGCATTTTTCAACCTTTCAAAGGTATGTTCAAGTAAAGGCCATAGCAGAACAGCTTTTCTCTGTATGTACTCGTCCCTGTCACGATTACAGTCCCATGCTGATACTCGTCCAAGATAATCGTCAACTTCGGACCAATTTAATGTCAAATCCTGGTTTACACATTGATGTACCAGTTTTGTACATATGGACCCTCCTGGGGTGAACAAACGACGTACATCTTCTGACAGATAGGTCTGATGGTTGAACATGTTTCATCATTTTTCGGAAGTAATGAACACAAAGTTACACACTACACTTAGAACTAAGTGTAAGATCAACCCAAACTTCAATAGCCACGAGCCACACGTAGCCAATGGAAGGTGATAAACGATACTTGACTTGTGAAAAGAAGTTTAACATCACTTTCTCATTGAAACGTCATGGTTGGGGAAGAGTATGATGTCATACATCAGAATCAAGAAAATTTACATCGATTTGAATAATGCCTAGGCACTTATTAAGTTAATTAATTGAAAGGTCTCTACATAAGTAAAAGACGACCAAAACTATATGCAGAAGAACAAAAAAAAAAAAAAAAAAAAAAAAATTATGTTCATTATTTTGCTGTTATTGATTTTTATTTCCCAACAGAAAAATCTAATCAAGCATTTGTTTTTTTAGAAATTTTTTATCATTCATTTTTTTACAAGGGTTTGCAACAGCAGTCATATCAACCCTTGGGGTGCTTTAAAAAAAAGCCCATTTGTAAATATTATTTGAACGTAGTCATTGGTAACAGAGATCTTTGGAAGAAAGGCAACCCTAAGTTTCAAGAAGAGGTGTATGCATATATACAGGGTGGTGCATTTTTTGACGCTCCATAGATTAAACAATTCACTACCTGCTTAAATGTACTATCAATTCACTTCTATAAAACAATAGTTCCAGTGCATGTCAAATTGTTTGTTGAATAGAAATTCAGATTGGAGATGGCCCATTGGGGCTGCTGAGGATGGGTCAATGGAACACATACAAAATAAAAAAATATTTGTCACGGGTTTTATTTTCTTCACAAATCATCTAAAAAAATTTCACAGTAAGCTGCAGGTGGTTTAAATTTGGAAAGCGTGTGGGATTGGCATAAATTTTAGACTTTGTATGGGCCTAAGAAAAGTTGAGAAGTGCTCGTTTTTGCTCATTTCTCACTGGTGGTGACTTCTACAAACAATTTTAAGATTTCCACCAAATTGGAATTTTTTAATCACCTGTATAAATTTTCTGCACTAAAACATTTATCACCGTAATAGTATGAAATTTCTTCGTATTACACACATATTCCAAGTATTCAAGCATGCTAAAATTTGAAATAAATTTTTTTAGTGTTTAACAATAAATTCTTTTTAATTAGAAATTTTACAAAATTGTACTAGAGTTAATTTAAGTATGTAGTGCATTGGTTTTTTATATGATGTGTCGAAAAGTGCACATTCAGTGTACAATATGGTACAATGATCGATCAAAAATGGAATAAGGATTAGGGAGATAAAGGGGCCAAATTAACTCAAACAAAATTTTACCACTTGAATTGATTAAAAACTTAAAACTATCTTCCATGCAATCAACATCTGTATGCAGAAATTGATAGAGAAGATAATGAATGATGGATCTACATATTTTCAGACTGTCAGGCAAAAAAGCATTAAATGCTTTTTAGCTCTAAACTAGTCTGGGAATGCCTAACGGCCCTAGAAGAACAACGATGCGAACCACAATGTGAGGTGGGTTCTGTGACATGAAGGTAGAAGGAAACAAGCAGGCTGACCAACTGGCCCAATGGTGGCTCTCTCATCCATAAGACTGGAACCACAACTAGGCATACCAAAATTGTGCTTAAGATGGAGTCAGAAAAATGGATTGAGAAAGAAAAACCCTATCATTGGATGAAAACACCAACTATAAGGCATTTTAAGAGATTTGTAACTTAACTACCTAACCTCTTTAGATAAAAAGATTGGCAAAGCTGAGGCAGAAACACACCGACTGTGGTCATTGGTCCATATCTTTTGTTAATGTTAGGCACTAGCCCGTACATGGTCGAGCCACTTTGGCTTGGCAATTTTTATACCATCAGAAGTGTGCAGAGGCACTGAGAAAACTGCTTAGCTTTGTGATGGAAATCTGGTCTTAATCAGAGGAGTTCTAAAATTGATGCAATAGGTCACAGAAGAGTAAAGGTTTGGGCATGGGTGGCTGCAACAGTGCTCATCACTGTAAGGTAAAGGTCCCAGGTTCCAATCCTGCAACCTTGAATTCAACCCAATATACTTACAAATGGGCTTTTTTGCAAAAACATATCCTAAGCCCTCTTTACTATGTTTTAAACCAAAATAATTTTGTAATATTAAGTTTTGTCTTGTAAGTTGTAAGTTTTGTCTTTAAGAAAATCAATAGTGAATTAATGCTCATGACTGTTTTAGTCAGTGTTTATTATGTTATATTATAAAAATTATGTTTACTGTAGGTCTGCCAGAGGTAATTTATCATGTCAAAGTAATAATCAAGAAAGCAGACCAGTACAAACGAATCAGCGGATGAATGATTTTAAAGTGAAAAACCAATTAGAGAGGTCAGTGATGGATATTTTATTTTATAATTAAATTTTTGCACGTAAAAATAATATTCTAGAGCCAGCTACCCAAACTTGTACAATGAGAACAATTTTGCAAATGACAGTCATGGACAAACGCTACCTCAAAAGAATACAAGAATTCCACTTTTTCCGTTAACTGACCACAACAATAAGTATGTATCGTAATCTTTTAATTTTTTTTTGTAAATTGGTTGTTTTTAGGTTGAACAGTATAAAATTAAGATCTGAATATAATTTTAACAATTTGAATGAGAATTGTATTAAATTTTTCAATAGTCAAGACTCTGGTTTGTCTCAATGGACAAATAACAGCCAGATGCATATAAGGTTAGACATAATAAATAATTATATATTTTATGTTTTTTTAAACAATTAATTTCTTTTAGGTCAAGTAATCAACCTCTTTATATGGTTAATTACAATGATACTGAAGCAAGGCCGTTTTGTGAAAGAACTGTAGCTGAAACACCAGAACCAAAAAGTAGTGGATACAATTCATTGGTCGACGAATGCTCACTTTTGTTTCCAAGCCAAGGCTCAGTGCATCTTCAAGCAACTTGCAGCCAAAGTTTTGAAAAGAAATTCACCGACTGTTCGACAAATTTTTCCCGATCAAGCCCTAGATTAAAAGACCCTTTCGGCCGACCTGGTTCGAACCATTTGAAGAAAATACGATTGGAAAATCGTCCTTATCCTGAGAAGACATTCAACCCAACCAATTTAATGCGCTTTGAAGAGAACATGTTTTTGAGTTCACAGCAGTGCCGACATGTCGCAGACACACCAGGCACCAGTCAACAGGGTGATGATTTCCAATTCAAAACGGGCCACACAAAACTTCCGACAAATCTAATTTTAAGGGATGGCAAGAAGATACAAAAAGTTTCACCTTCGCCTTCCAACGTCAGCACAAATTTATCAAGTAAGCAATACATCCTTTTATTATTTATTGTTATTGTAATGTATTCAAAAAGACCATTTTTTCCCTAGGCTTGTTGCATGGCAATGATCAGCTAAATATGTTATTTGAAAGAGAAAAACACCGATTATAATGATCCTACTTAAATGTGTTAATTTCCATACTGAGAATTTAGGCTTATTTTCTTTGTTCTAATTGAGAATTGCCACTATTGAATAGATTGTTTTCCAAATAAATAATTATTATGTTACTTCATGTCTTAAAATATTATTTTCAGTACTATGCTTGATAGTTTATATCAGCATTCATTAAGTTGATGCTAGGAATAATCATGTTGTATGTATAGACATAGGCAAATAGGCAGAGAGACTTGCATATACATAGATGTATAAAGATTTAGATCAATTAACACATATAAATGTAAACATGTAAAAAAAAATCTAAAACTGAGGCATAGGTAAGTAATTTTCTAATAAAGATCTGTTTTAATCATATAATTTGTTGATAAATATTTATTAAAATTGCAATTATTTATAGTTTACAATTAACATAGAAAAAATACATCTTTGAACATCAAAAACATTTTTTTTGCATTTAAGTTTTTTTTTTAAATAGTAATTTCATTCTTTAACTTTCTCAAAGACGAGTGCCAGCATTTCTGTGTCCATGCACTCGGACTCTTCAACCCTTTCTGGCTTGCCCCACCAAATGATAGTGGGCACTTTCTTCACTTTGGCCTTGTGCTTCATGTAAGGACTGTTTGGGCTTTTAAACCTGAAAAATTTAGCATTTGGTCAGATCAAGGAAGGACGATGACGAACCTATGTAAGCCATACGGTGCTTTATCCACAGTGCAGATGATCAAGCTGCAGTCTAACTTCAACTTAAGATTCTCCAGGTAATTTTCAACTACCGGCTCAGCTGGAAAATTAATAAGTAAAAATAAAATCTGCCACAATGCAAGAACACAGAGTCAAAATCATAAAAATAAAAATTAAAAAGATAATGGTTAAAATTAAATTGTGATGTTTATCATTGCTGGTCTCCATTACAGCATAATTAAACAAACAAGCAAACAAATATGATAAAAATGCAAACAAAGGAATTTTTAACGACCTTCATAAAACATAAATAATTTACCTCTTCACAAAAAAGATAAATTGACATTTTTTAAAATGTTTTAATATAAAATGAAAGTACATTGCTTATAGATACAAATCTCAAGCGAAAGCTGAGCTTACTAGTTCTAGGATAAATCATAGGCAATTAAATAATAAAAATAACTATCATAAAAATTAATTAAGCAAAATTCAAAACAGGATACATACCATTAAATAAAGAAGTATTTTATACTATTTATTATAAAATATAGTATAATGTTAATATTTCTTGATAAATAATGAGGCAAAATTATTTCATTGCCATTCTCATCAATACTTAATAAATCAAGGGTCAGAAATTGCACTGTGGAATTGTGGAATAAGCTTGGCAGTAAGTCCTCCTGATTGACAGAAACTTTTGACCTTATTTTTGTAATAGGCATTGGGGGGAGGAAAAAAAAGACTAGCATTTTTTATCGCTCATGTTGAATAACAGGAGTTTTACTGACACCCACCATGGAATTTATACCATTGTCATATATTTTAATGAGATGATGAACCAGTAGTTTGTTAATCTCCAATCAACGCAAACCCTCTACTGAAGAATATAATATGGCGGGCAACATGTATCTGTCTTATAAAACCAACAAGGCTGAGAAAAGAAGGTTGAATATAATAAAATAATAAGGTATTTTTTATATTCGCTTGTAGGGCGCTGAAAAGACCTAGCTATTCTGGAGACAAACCTCAGTGTTTGGGTATATAAGACTGAGGTCTGACCCCAGACTGCCAGAAGGTGGATGCAATCTGTTGTTAATTACAAAACCTGTAATTGCCAGTGGACAGCGAGAACTGTAGGCTCAACTCTTTACATGTGTGTATATGCATGTGCAGATTTGAGCTTATACAAATCAGTAAAAAAAAAAAAAAAAAATTGAAATGTCATAACTACAGTGCAACTCTGAAAATTATAATACTATGTGATTAGAAAAGCACAAGTTGATATTTTAAAGAGGGCATGAATTAATGATCACCCACTTACAACTGCCAATTCTGATAACTAGGCAAAAAGAGATAACAATTTATTTATACATTAAAAATTGAAAATAACGTTTTTAAATATTTTCTGCAGATCAAATTATATTGTTTTTATTATATTTACTGGTGAATGATGCAGGGACAAGATCCAAGAGACTACTTGAAGAGAAAAAAAAAAAAAACGGAGCAATTTAAGTTTGGGAGGAACTTCAAGCAGACAAGGTTGTGGGGAATGGGCAAGGATTTGTTGAAACATGATCCCAAAACTAAAATTCAGCTTTGATAAAAAAAAAATTAAAATAGACTACCTACTATAAATAATACTTAAGTATATTAATAATGATATATGCTAATGTTTGAAGTTTAAAGTGAGATATTTCAGTAGCAGTTGCTCACACGTTGATCTGGTATGATTAGATCTAATTTTTAATTATAAATTTAGTTTTTTTAAAGATATGTTATTTAATAATATAATAAGTTACATGTCCGACAGTCTGAGCACCAGCTAACCCCGTTCTCGACGGACCCGACAAACCAGATGAAGATCTCCTCCTGTTGGTTTTTTTGCAGCAGCTCCTCTATCTTCTGGTCAAGCTCTTCCAGGCTCTTGACGTTGTACCTGGTCAAAACTCCTTTGCTCTCAGCCGTTGCCATTCTCGCCGTTGGTAGGTTTGGAAAAATTTCAAAATTTGGTCACACCTTACTACTCAACTAGCACTCAACGTGTTATCAACAGAACCGGCGTTATCGGTGTGTAGTGTGGACCGTGGAAAATGGGGAAAACCGGAGGTTCTTCACGAAATGCGTGTTGTCTTAACACGACGTCACCAAAAGAAATACAAATGGATAACTCATCCCTGTATTAATATTTTGTATTTTATTATTTTAGTAAAATACTTAGGAATAATTCTGAGAGAGATGTTAAGACCATCCAAATACGCAATCAGGATCAAAAAAATGACGAGATTCTTCTCCTAATTGAGCTCGATCATGAAATCGAAATGGGGCCTGAGTTCGATTGTTCACCATCACTTACGAAAGCTTATTCTGCCCATTGCCACGGAGTAGCAATCTGTGGAACGAAATTGCAAAGTAGGAGTAAAAACATCCTCGAGCTCAAAGAATAGCACTCCTGGGAACAGCAAAAGCTCATAGGACAGCCCCTACTCACGCCCCTCACGTCCTTGCTTCTGTTCCACCAATCGATATTGACCTCCAAAGAGGCAATCTAACAGCTAAAAGATGGAAAAGAGCCAAACAAACACGATGCGTCAGATGAGACTACGAGATTTGCCTAGGAAGCAGATCTGGTACGTTCTTACACTTTGTAGCCAACTGGTGGAAAGATGGGCCAGAAGTACCAAGGAATGTTGACCCACGAGTTTCTACCTGGTTTCAACCAGATTTCTGGATCACCAAAATAATGACTAGATACGTACATTTCAATCTGAACTGGTTCCGTAGAGCGAACAGCAACTGTCCCGATTACATAGACAATGACAGTGTCCATTTCCATGGAGGAGCAGTCTGGGTAAGAAAAGACTAGGACAAATAATTATTCCTCCTAATACAAACAAAAGTTTATAGGACAACCCCTAGACACGCTCTCCAATTCTTTGCTTCCGTTCCACCAATCGACATTGACCTTCAAAGAAGAATTACAATCTGACAGCTAAAAGATGGAAAAGAGCCAACAATAGTAAACTTGGTTGCGACATGAGACTAGGAGATGTGCCTAGGAAGAAGATCCGGGACTTTCTTACATTTTGGAGCCAACTCGTGGCAGGAAAGATGGGACAGAATGATCAAGGGAAGGTTGACCCACGAGTTTCAACCAGATTTTTGGATCACTCAAATAATGTCTGGATATGTAAATTTCAACCTGTACCGGTTCCGTAGAGCCAACAGTCAACTATGTCCCGACTGCGTAGACGATGATAGTGTACATTCCCACGGAGGTTCAGCATATGTAAGAAAAGAGTAGGACTTCTGAGAACAACATAAGCTTTTATGACAGACCCTACTCACGCCCTCCAATTCTTTGCTTCCGTTCTACCAATCGACATTGACCTACAAAGAAGAATTGCAATCTGACAGCTAAAATATGAAAAGGAGTCAAAAATGGTAAACGTTGCGTCTAGATATATTTTTTCTTTCCAAAAGGTAGATTGGGGATGAGGCCAGGAAGAAGTTGCATCAAGAGACTACGAGATGTGCCTAGGAAGAAGATCTGGGACTTTCTTCTGCGTAGACGACGTCCAACTCTCTCTTATACTCATATTCTCTTTCCATATGTCACTACATTTCTTTCTCACCACTTTTATCTCTCTCAACACTATCTTCATTTTTCATACTCTTTTCCTACACTATATCTCATCTGTTTTCTTCCTAATTCTGTACTTTTGTTTTAGTTCTCTCTTTCACCATCTTTTTTATTCACTCACTCTCTCTCCCTCCAAGTTTGCTTTTAAGTTATTTTCACTTTCCCACCTTTTTTTTCCCAAATTTTATAGTTACTTTTAATCTTCTATGTGTGTGCAACTATCTATGTCTCTTTCCATTTATGTACATGTTTGTTTTTCTTTCGTTTTTCTTCTTTATGTACTTTTACCGTCGTTTTCACATACACACCGTAAATTCCTTTATCTTTTTCCTTCTTCTTTCTATACTTCTACTTTCGTTTTCACTATCTTTCTTTTTTTCTTCCTTGTCTCGCTGTTACTCTCTCTCCCAATCTTAAGTTGCCATCTTTTTCACCTCCTCTATCCTTATCTCCTTTATTGCTCTTACTATCTCTCTTACATTTTCGCTTTCTCTCTAACTATATTTATTGTGTTTATTATCTTTCTTGTTTTTACTTCCTCTCCCTCTCTATAGATGTAACTTTTTCTTTCTTCTTCTTTTCCTCTCTTTGTTACTATTTTCATTCTTGTCTATAACACATTACACTTTTCTCACTTTTCTGAGTATCAGTACACTTCACTGCCATATCCAAAGGTTTCCGCATTTTATTGATCCAAAAATAGGCCGAAGCGAGAATAGATCAGAGTAATGATACAAAATTTGGTCCATTAGCATAAAATAAAACGAGAGTAAATTAAATAAGATAGACGTCAAGATTAAAGGATCAATTTTAATTTTATATATTTTATCTGTTCATATGCACATTTTGTTCGAGACAACCGAGTGTCAAACCGTACCTGTTCGTCGTTTTGATCTTTGGTCTTATTTTAAAGAGAAATACTGCTGAATATATTTTTATTAGTCTTACCCTTGAAAGCAAAATTGGCATCGATTCACTTGGAAAGGCACGAAGCAGATGGCAGCAGGGTCTGTTTATTATTTCGAGAAAAACATCTTCACCTCCGATCGAGCGAGTCTTCATCTTCATCGTAAAGCCACCCCAGAGAGTCGACATGGGCAAAGGAAAAGGTAAGCAGTTTGTTATTTTAAATTTTTTTGATTGATTATTTAATATAGTAAGATGGGATTTTTGGTATCAATTGACTGGCGGATTCAAAGAGTTAAATTTTAAGCGAGATTTTTTAACTTTCACTTTTATCCTCTTTATACCTTTTTGTTTAAAAAAATCAATGTTCTAACACCTGAAAATAGACAAGCAAACGAAACAATTAGCAAGTTATTTAATGTGTAAACATATCGATAAACCTGTGATAGATTTTTATGTTTATACTAAAATTTCTGTTATAATTCGAGTTGTAAAATTTTTTTTGCGCTGCTGCTAAATTGTTTCTAATTGTCGGAGAATTCGCGGGAGTTAAAGACTCCGGTATTTTTAGACAACGCTCTTTGCCAATTAATTCACTGATCCTTTTATCCGGGGTTTTCTTAGGTGAGCGATTTTGGTCTAAAGAAAAATTGGTCAGCAATTTAGCATAGGATTGTGCCAAGGTACGACTAAAAATCAGCCATTTAGTAATTTTTCTGAATAAGTTCAATTAAGGCCGCGCTAAATTTATACTAGGGTCTATTTTCATTGGTCATTTAATTTCTTTTAATATTTTAGTTTCAAAATAATTTTCTTTGATATAATTAGCGTTGTGGAGGTGGATTAAAAATGAGATAAATATGGGAAAACTCAGAACAGATTTAATCTTTGATTTTTTTTTCAATTTTTGAATCCAAACTGTGAAATTTAGGATACAAATCAGTGGTTTATCGTAAGGAATGCTGTACTAAAAAATACACACTGTAATATATAAAGGAAAGAAAAAGTTATTTATACACCCAGCATCACGATTCGAATGATTTTGTCCAAAAACGGACCAATTGGCAAGGGATGGGCTTGAATTATTATTAAAGAAAATTAAAAATGAAGCACTGAACAGTCCGGCCGTTGAAATTTTTATCTCGGGTTGAAGGGAAATGCAGACGAATCTTCCATATTTTGAACAGTAAACAGATCTGTTTACTCTTTCTGCTCAAGCCAAAGTTAGAACGATTGGACACGTCCGTGTTCAAATTTACACTTTGAATAGTCAGAGAATTTTTTATTATTCTTAAAAAAAACTGGTTAAAGGATTTGGCCGAATTTATATTAATTTTGATCAGAAAAGATCTGAGATTCTGAACGTTTTTTTTTTTTCATCGCTGTTTGATTTTCGGTTTTTAAAGTGCAAAAGCGAGGCTCGACGATCCGGATTGGGCTAGAGCAGGCTGAAGATAATGAAATAATGAAACTGTTTTTCACTTTACAGGCGGAGGAGGTGGAGGCGGAGGCGGCAAGACTGACGACGTAAGTCAGGATATGATTGATCATTGGGCTATTTTTAAATTTTTTTGTTTGTACAGAAAAAAGGCGGCGGTGGCAAAGCTGGTGACAAGGGAGGAAAAGGAAGCGGCGATAAAGGTGGAAAGAAAGGCGAGTTGTGCGCCGATTCCTATCAATAATAGCCCATAATTGACAAAAAAACCATGTTTTAGGTGGAAAGAAATGAGACTGGTCGCTCTTCACATCTGACAAATACAAAAAAAAAATATTTAAAAGCAATTATGTAATATTGCACATTGATCATTTGGAGGACAGCGGGCACAGTGAAAACCAAGCTTTTTAAAATAGATTTTTAAGAAAAAATAAATAAATTATTTTATATTTTTATTATGCTGTGATAAATATAAATACATTTAATTATAAATATTGTTTTTTTTTTTTTTTTGTAAAATCAAATTGTACAGTTCAAAGTTGACTGTATTAGGCTTATTACACAACATATATGCTGTTTTCCTACCCTTTTTAAATAAAAAGCAAGGTGGAGAAACAGAATCTTTATTTTGATTAGTGACATTATATGCACGTTGTCGGGGAAAAAAAAGAAAAAAAATGTTATGACTTTCTAAACCTCCTTGTATCATATGACTATGTTTACATCAAGCCACTTTACGTTTATTCTAAGAGTTCTTGACCTCGTTGAAGACCGTTTGCCAAAAATCTAGGAATATAATTAAACAGGACCAATGTGGGCCGCTTCATTGCTGATAAACCGAGGTTGCCTTTTTGTACAACCTTGCAGGACGAGTCACGAGTCATTCAATTAATCCTTTAAAAAGTAAGATCAACTGTGTTCTAAAAGTTCGATATCCACGGGTCCAGACACAAGTACCATCCACTGGGTGTTTCTCTAGATCAAAACTTAAATTCATTTTTTTTAAAGTTCAGTCAAAGAAATGCCACCTCTGCCAAAAAACTAATATATTGTCAGAGCCAAAGAACAACGAAATAAACGTAAATTTTTGTCAAATCTGATCAACCGTACACTTAAGCTACGCCTGTGGATCTGCTCAACGCTGTTGCGATTAAATATCCTGCAACAATTTGTTGATGTTCCGATACAAAGTTTCACACTACAATGTTATGCAATAAATCAAGGCTTTAATTGCCTAGGATATGCAGATGATCTGAAGGTAGTCGTGAATGGACGCTTTGACGAAGTCATTACAGAGATGGCGCAATACACACTCAACATAAGAAAAAGTGTGCAAAGGAAGGGCTTCTATAAACCCTAACAAAACCATCGTGGTTCCCTTTACCAAGAAAAGGAGCACTTAAGCCCTTTATGCTAAATGGAGATGAGATTCCTTTGTAGAGGCGAAATATCTGGGAGTCATCTTCGACCGGAGACTTTCACGGAATCAACGACTAAACAAAATCACACAAACAGCAAAGATTACCATTGAGAGATGTAAACGCTTTTGTGGGAAAAGCTGGGAACTGAATCCAAAGATGTCCCTTCATAACCTACAAATCAGTGGTTTGGTGGACAAAGCAATTACAGCTAAGGGCGGTCCGGATCCTCAGTACTGCTCAGAGAATGGCTTGTCTGAGCATCACTGGGGCAATTAGAACAAACCCCATGCTGCCCTGGAAGTTCTTCTCAATCTACCACCACTACATATCTTTATATATATCGAAAAAGTTGATCAAAGACTATCGCAGAAACTAACGGCAGAACTACTAAATCTAGGACATGCTAGGGCTAGAATAATAGTTGGACTGTTAACTGGACACTGCAGGCTCCGGAGGCATATGTATAGACTCGGAGTGGCAGAATCAAGTCTGTGGAGATATTGCCAAAAATAAGAAGAAACAGCAGCACACGTCCTTTGTTTGTGCGAAGTATATGTAGGTTGAGATTCCTAATTCTGGGAGAGGAAAGCCCAGGGCCTAAAGGATACACATGGGAGCCATTGAAAAATCTTTGGAGTCTGGTAAAAAGCCTCAAGTTTAACGAGGAGCTCTAATAAAAAAATTGAGATCAACAATACACCAATGCCGGTCGCGGTGCACAGGTCTTAAAGAGGTCGGTTCCTAATCTAATCAGAATCCAATTTTCCCCAGGAAACGTTATGGACAATGTTGCAGGAGCTGTCCCGATTAGGTTTTGAGATGGCCCATAACAATAAGAACAATAAGCAACAAAGAATTTCGATTTGTACTAGTCTTTGAAATTAAGACCCCCAGCTATTTTTTTTCTTTGTCTATACGGCATACAGCCACTGAACATGCAGATAGAGCTTGGGACCCAGTCCATCAACCTTCCTCGAACCCACCGATACCATCCCCTGGGGAATACTTTCGCACTTCTATATGCTAATTTTTGATTTCTGGAGAACCTACTCTTCAACAACACTACAATAATTATACAAAAACAATACTTTTGACGCTATTTTAATCGACATCCTCAATGCCCCTTATACCGCTGGGCCCCCGACTCCAGCAAAATACTTATCTTTTATAGCGGCTACTTTAGTTTTATAGTTTTGTGAAAGGAGGCACTTTGAAAATATTGAAAATATGTTGAGCTTGTTTTAGATGATAGTAGTAGAATATTAAACTCTGCTACGCCTCATCAGGAATAAAACAATGCTGGAACAGGACACTTTCACATCGTTTCATCATCGGGAGGGCTATTGAACTTTATAAATCGACTTAGTTTGAGCTTAGCTGGTTTGAAGAGAAAAAAGCCTCGGTTTGTCAACCGGAACATTGCTGTAATAAACGAGTTAGATATATGTAAAACTCACCACAAAGAATATGCCTCAACCTTTTTATGTTCCTGATAGCGAAACTGAAATATTTTCAATAACCTAGAATGAACGTTGAGATTAGCCATACTATCAATATTAAGGGTTAATTAAAATGGCATAAAGCTATTGGGTTGTCCGGAAAATAATGCAGGATTTTGGTATTAAACAAAAAAAAAGAAACTAGTTACTTTAAAGCAATGTTCTTTAATCAAAATAATTTCCCATACTCTCAATACATTTCTCCCAACGTGTTGGTAACTTATTAATTCCGTCTGAGTAGAATTCAGAATTTTTAGAATTGATAAAGTCAATAAATGCATTTTCCAGTTCCGTTTGATTTTTGAATATTATGTGTTGTAAGTAGTGGTCCAGGTGTCTAAAAAAATGGTAGTCAGTAGGCGAGAGGTCCGGAGAGTAGGGTGGGTGAGGCAAAGTTTCATAGCCAAGCTCCAATAATTTTTGTGACGTTACACGTGACACATGTGGTCGAGCGTTGTCATGCAACAAAATGGGCCCTTTCCGATTGACCAAAGAGGGCTTCATTACTGCCAATTTCTGATGCATGGTATTAATTTGGTTACAGTATGATTCAGCATTGATGGTTTCGCCAGGATTTAAGAAGCTGTAGTGTATTAAACCAAATGAAGCCCACCATACCGTAACCATTACCTTTTTTTGATGAGTTGGGGGCTTTGGAAAATGTATTGGAGCTTCTCCTTTGTCGAGCCACTGTCCAGAATCCACTTTTCGTCACATGTAACAATTCTGGCCAGAAATGGGTCATTTTTGTTTCGACAAAGAAGTGATGCACAAACATCAAAGCGCTGATTTTTTTGGCGATCGTTTAATGAGTGTGGAACCCAATTTTCGAGTTTTTTCACTTTTCCAATCGCCTTGAGGTGGTCAGCGACGGTCGTTTTACTGACTTTGAGTTGCTCTGCAAGTTCTCGAACAGTTGTTTTGGGGTTTTCTTCCACCACTGATCGCAGAACATCATCATTAAGAGAGGAAGGCCTTCCACGACCTTCTTCATCTTCAAGGCTGAAATCTCCCTCCCGAAATTTTTTAAACCACCTTTGCACAGTGCACTCATTAACACAACCCTCGCCCCAGACTTGGTTAATGTTTCTAGCCGTTTGGGCTCCGCTTCGGCCGAGTTTAAACTCGTAAAAGAAAATCGTACGAAATTCTCGCTTTGACATTATAAGGATGACTGAATTATTTCCAAGTAGCGGAATGCTACAGAGGTAAACAAACAATATCATTTGGAAGAGGATTAATAAGTGTTGACATTCATACAAATGAGTAATCCTGTAAACGTAAACAGAATATTTTATATAGATTTTTTTTAATGAAAACTTAAAATCCTGCATTATTTTCCGGACAACCCAATATACAAACGTTCTGTCAATTCAGAGTGCAAGCGAAGTTAATTTAAAGCCAAAACTGATTGATGAATAGCAGAGTACAAAAATAAAACTAAGATCGGGTAAAAATAACACAAGGTGCATTAATAAAAGCTACAAAAACGTACGGTTTATTAAACAAAATATGCTACCAATCCAAGGATTTCCCATCATAATTTAAAAACGTCCCGGTTTGTTCTGGCCTAAGATTGGACACGGTGTCAACTATCTGAACCGTGGACTCTTCGACAGACATGGGCGCCTTTTCTCCTCCCAATTCAGTCCTGACCCAACCTGGGTGGATGCTGACCGCTAAGACGTCATATGGCTTCAGGTCAATGCTTAACGACTTTGTAGCGGCGTTCAGAGCAGCCTGAAAGATTTAACTTATTCAATTGTTTAAATATTTAAATAAGTTAAGATAAAACCTTGCTGCAACGATATGGATAATATCCTCCGGTGTCATTCGCCGAAATGGACCCGAGCACAGAGGTGATGTTGACAACAGCTGCTCCCACTTGTTGATCCTTACAGTTAAGAGCGCCTTGCTTCAACAGTTTCATAAACGCCTGCAACGTTTACAACATCAGGTTTCCTTTTTCTTCAAACCATTGGCCACAGTACGATTACCTTGGCCAGCATAACTGGAGCGACCGTGTTTACTGAATACGCCTCCAGCATAGCTTCGTGCTTGAGATAGCCTATCTTGAGAAACTTGCCTGCTATTCCGGCATTGTTGATAAGCACGTTCAATCCCTCATTGCCGACTATTTCACCAACCTCGTTTGCAAAATTCGGAAATGCTGAGTAATCTGTAACATCTGAATATTGTCTTGTGTCAATTCAAACTGGTTGAATCCAAAAAAATCCGTAATATGAGATTGATTAATATTGACTGGAACTGAAATGATAAATTTTTCTTATTTTTTATTGTCTAGAAGCCGAAGGAGTGGCATCGTCGGCCAATTCCAATAGTCTTAGAACTTGTTACAGCAACATGCTATAAAATTTGAGCTTTATATATATCTTAAGGTACGAAAAACGATATTCCAGTTTGATCAATCAGAAAAAAATCAATGTATCAATGCTACACTTCATACGCATACGTCAGGTTTTAGCAAAACTCAGAACTGTTGGATTTCTCCATGTTACAAGGCCTTCTGCACCTCGACCTTAGTAGATATATTACTGCTCCTCTGTTTTTTATAACTCACAGGCCAGCTTCAGGTTGTAAATCAACCTCGATAGCCTTGCCAGCGGCTCAGTGTGGCTTTTCCTCACCTAGTTGCAATAAACCTTCACTAAAACAATGTGTTCTGCGGTCTTTTCTTCCGGGCGGTATCTACACAGTGTATCTTCTGTCTGTACCCCTATCCGGTGCATGTGCGTAGGCGGTAGACCTGTAGGGAGTCAAACCAAAATCCTGGTTCTTTGTGTTTGCCACATTAACACTTTTATTATTACCAGTCTGTTTTACCATTGTTTGGCTCAGGTAGTCCTCGATTTTTGGACTATTTAACTGAGAATTTTATTAATTTATTTGTTTAAAAAACGCCCAGGGTAAAAATGTATGAACTTTCCGGTTCCATACACCGAAAAAATAGCACGTCTTGCACAACAGAACGGAGTGTTTTCTGGCGACTCGCCACTTTCTGGTCCGGTTTGAATTACTACTGACCATTTTAAACGTTTTAAGTATTGCAGCCCTGTTCAAAAAACGGTGACGTCGGAATGGTTGCACACGTCGGATGGCTGCAATGTTGCATTTTTTAATGCCACCACGGACTATTGTATCCTGGAGTCAATGACATTTATTCAACACATTTCTCAAGTTACGACACTTACCTAGTTTCAAAACATGGACGTTGGAGTGCGCTTTTTCTATCTCCTTCAGCTCCTGAAACAAAATTCATTCGTTTTTGTAACCATGGGCAGAATAGAAAATCATTTTTAACAACCAAACTCATAACCATATTTTAACAGATGAAGTTAAGAATTTTTTTTAACGAGGGTTCGCAACAGCAGAGGTTATATCAACCCTCGGGGTGCAGGTAAACAACAAAACATTTGTAAGTATGTCGGGTTCGAATGCAGGGCCGCTGGATTCGAACCCGGGACCTTTACCTTACAGTGATGACTTACACAATTAAGTAATTAGATGAAACTGGTGATGTTGACAAATTTATATTTCATTTTGTTCTTTCAACTTTGTAATCAACCGCTCGATGAAGTGTAGCGCCTTAAATGCAAAATACGCTTTGATCACCGGCATTCTCTTGACTCATCCTGCTTATTTCCCTAACATCCGCACCATGCGTCTGTGGAACTTCAGCACATAGCCAATTTATGTAAAAATTGCGTCACTCTTGATGTGAAATTTAGATCGTCAGTTTTTCCTAGCCTTGAAACAGAAGAAATGGCATCAAATTCAATCGAAGGCTTGAAAGAAGGGTCAAAGTTGTGATAATAATTATATCTTCAAAAATTAAGTAAATATTTTAATTCAACGTTTCTTAATTATTTCATACAGAAATTCTGAGCTGAGAAAAGGCAAATCCCATTTTTATCAAATGGAAGAATGGTGCTGTAAGATTCACTTTGCCTCACCCAGCTTATAACCCTGACATCACGCCATCTGGCTCAAGGCCGATGGCAGATTTTTTAAAAGTGGCGGTGCTGTTGATGCGAAATTAGAACGTATTGAAACGGAAGAAATGACACAAAATTCAGGCGAAGGCTTGAAAGATGGGTCAAAATGGTGATAATAATGAATTATATCTTCAAAAATAAAATATTCTATATTCAACGTTTCTTAACTGTTTAGTAAAGAAATTCTGAGCAAAGAAAGGGCGAATACTTCTTGTCCCACCCTGCTTATACCCTGATATCACGCCATATGGCTTAAGGCCTTGCGGCCAAAGGCTGAAGCAATTTAGTAGATAATCGAGTTTTGAGGAAAATTGTGAGAATCTATGAAAAATTTGATGGTCATCCAAGGTCATGCTTCTCAGAAGAGAGTAGAATAGCAGATTTGCCCAGATTTTCGTTCGGTGGAATCATGAAGGTGAGATGATATGGTTCTAATTGGCAGGAAATTCGAAAACAAGGTTGATACATAAAAAGGGGTCAACGTACTGCCTCGACCCACTTATACCCTTCATACCGCGTCATCTGACTAATGTGTGATGCATTTTTTTCAAGACATCACTAGGAAAACTGTGAATTCTTATCCCGAAAGGGTAAGCATGGTATAAGTCACATTTTAAATAATGGTTGCAAAGTTAAGATTTCTCATGAAGAGGTGAGAAAATAAACTACAGCATCTTACGATTGACTTAACAAAATTATTCAAATTTACTAGGAATGCTTATTTAGTTTAAAAGTACTTAGTGTAAGAAAAATAAAACCACAGGGTATGAAGATAGAATTATATCAATACAATAATCACAGATGATTTTTTTAGCATCAGCTCTTAATTGTTTGTAACAGTTCAGCTTCGTTTATCCATCGTAGATATTGAACGATTTGAAAGGTATGGAATGCGACAGCTATCATTTTTTGTGAATGGATTCTTAAACGATGTCACACCGGCCGTTGACCAAGCATGAGGTAGTCAGGAATATCACACGCAACACCAATGGTAAGTTTGAACATAAAGCCCCATGTGACGAATACTATACTACAATATTTTCTAAATATTATTGATTATACTTTCCTTGACTTGATAATGCCTCCTCAGTTATATTTTCTGGATTTCACTTTGCCCGAGAATGAAAACATACATAAATCTTCACAGTAACATAAAATGTACTGTTGTTTCCTCTTCTTGGCAGAACCTACATGGGCTAACTTCTGCCATCTCCAACGTATTTATGATGATACTTTCATGACGAAGTCTTTAGACTATGTCTTTGGGAGTTGTTCACCAATTATGAATCTTTTTTATGGGAGTTTGAAATGCTCAGCACTTGTCTTTTTTGTGTTTAAATGATGCTGCCTTCTTGAAGAGCAGTAGGAAAACTATAGCAGAGGTAGATTATTTCCCGAAAATAAAATGTAATGTAAAAGAAGCAGTGTTGGGAGTTGTTTTTTCAACCCTAAATATTTAATGTTTCTAAAAACTTCTAAAATAAGTACCGTAGCGTACAGAAATTTTACAGAAGGGTATTAGTATTGCTGATGACGGCTGAATCTCTTCTGTCCTGGGACTCACATTTCTTTGTGAAGCTATAGTCATGGCATCCCCCGGCCCAATATTATACCCTTTCCAAGTTCCTCTTTAGGATTTCTGAGAGTCATCGAGTTGCTTTTAGGACCCTTCACTAACACGAGCCTATGTGTTACTTAATCATTTAATAAATTTTCTCCGTGAATGACAGCAGTAAGGGGAGTAGGCAAGGTAGGTAAGACTCCTGTGTTAATTTAGGGGACCACTTACACAATTTTTCTAGATGTACCTATGCTGATTGAGGAATTTCCCTGCCCTACAGTCATCCCGCCATTACTTACGACTCTTGTATAAACCATTTTGGGTTTTATACCCTAATGACACACAAGCCAAAAGAAATTAAAAATCCCCAATAATCAACAACTGTATACGCAAGACGTATAAAATAAGTACAAGTGATCACTTTTCACGAATTTCCCAGCATATATTACTAATTTTTAGCCATGACCTAGTTATCAAATTCTTAATAACAATCAAATTTTGAGATAAAAATCAACGTTACGGTGCGAGTGTAAATATGAAGTCAAACATTATTAATTCTTCTGATTAATAACTCTTTCTTTTTTTGTTGCATGAATGGGTTTTCTTCTTTCAATTAGAACTCGATCCAAGAAAACGTTTCAGTAAGTATAAATTATCATACAAGATAAGTAATCTGACGTTAGCTAGTAAAATTGTTGTTTAAACTTTCCACAAATACATTGGTTGGAAACAAACTCAAAATAATCAATATTGCAAAAATAGGTTTTGATGTGAAATTTGGTTGATCGTTTATAAATTTTTTAAATGGTGAACAATTTATTTTAAAAATACTTATACGTTATTTTAAAAATTCTTATTTTTTTCTCTAGGTTCTGTAGTTTCCCAAGGGCAACCACAAGGTAAGATTATGTTTCCATTTATAAAATTAAATTTAGTCGGTAGTTTAGATTTCTATCATAAATTTCTTTAATATTTTATCTTTGTTGTTTTTTTACTGATAACTAGCCTCCATATCAATTTCTTACCTTATATAAAGAAACTCGGTAAAACATTTTCTTCCGTGCAGTATGGACTTAGTCAAATGGCCAAAACGTTTTGGGGTAATAATAAACCATTTTTTGAACTTGAAATACATACTTGTGTATTGGATGGATTTTTGTAGTTTACCGCAACACTCGGAAAATTTAAACAATCACTTGCCTATTTTTTCATATATCGAGTCAAATAATGCATTTTGATGACTTTAGTTAAAAATTTATATAGTTGTCAACCAATTCAGAGCAGTAGGTAATTTTAGGCAAACAAAAATTGATAGTCTAAAAATAACTGAAAAACGTTACATTTTGAGTATGACAAAAGGTTATCGTATTGAAAACAAATATCGAGCTGTTTATAAATTATCTGTATGAAATCCGTCTTTCGATTTTTTTTTTTTTTTTTTTAATTAAGTATCCACCTATATATTTGACTACTGAACCAAGTAGGCCAAAGTAGAGAAATTTCCTTGTGCGGTCTGCGGGTTATCTCATGTCACATTCATTCAGATCCAGCACTGAAGAAGACGAGACTAATAAGACTAACAAACGAGGATAATCCGACAAAAATGATCGGAAACGACCAAACTACAAATTTTTATATCTGTATAAACTACATACAGTAATGAGCTACAATGTAACATAGCATTTTTCATTTAAATTAATAATTTTTTCAACCAATTTAATAATCGTCGCAGCCATTTTAATAATCCATATCATATCAACATATATTAATAATCCCTTCAACTAATTTAATAATTGTCCCTACGGAAATGTATAGTAGGGATAAAACATATACGAGCTATAATGTGCGAAAACCTTTATTTAAATTTTAAAAAAGTAGAATTATTTCATAAAACAATATAAATATTTAAAAAATGGTAACCGGTAACAGCTTACTCTCTTTTGCGATTTTTTTCGTGAGCTGTGTACAAAACTTGATGGGCATTCATTGTGTAACGCATTTCTAGTTATGGACAATGCCAGGATTCATAAACCTGCTAATTAAAGAGATTGTGGAATCAGTTTCTCATATGATTACTTTCCTGGCGCCCTACTCGCCAACTCTAAACCCTGTAGAGTATGCGTTTTCCAAGATTAAGACAGCTGCGAGGACCCTGTCAGCTGAAACCAAAGGAACTCACAATTTAAGTGAAATAATACGCTGCAGTGTCAATTCCATTCGGACTCACCAATTACGTAATGGATGTCCTTTGTTGCCAACGTCTACCGCAGGACTTTTTTTATTTTTTGATGAAATATAAAAATATTTGAAAATTGATAATTTTAACATTGGCATTGGTGTTATGATGTTACATAACACAGGTTGTTTCAAGCCTACAAACTTTTAAAGTTTTACATTTGAAAATAATTTGAGTTACTTTCTTCCACTTTTTAGTTGTGAATGAAAATATCTTCATCCTTAATCGAGCCAGTTCTTTAGATAATTAATTGATTTTCAACAAGAATCGGGATGTTGGAAATTTTGTTTTTTCAAACCATTGTAGACTTAATTGACTAGGATACAATTTTTTATTTATTAATAATTTATTATATCCATCTTGACTATGTATGATTTAAATGTGAAAAGTGTAATACATCCATTTAAACCGATAAAAATAAATAAAATTGTGGAGAGATCTCCAAATATGTTAACGAACTATGGACACAATCGGCTCACAACTATCGATTCTTTGGCGGCAGAATAAGCTAAGGATACCAAAAATCTGTACTTAGACGAAGTTTTAAAGTTTTACAATTGCAAAGAATTTGAGTTGATTTCTTCCGCTTTTTAGTTCTGGTACAAAATAGTTTCATCCTTGATTGAGCCAGTTCTTTAGATAATTTAACCGTTTTTCAACTTTTTTTTACTTCTTTTATTTGTATCTACAACTGTACATGTTTTATATAACAACCAGCAAATTGGGTAATTTGTGTTTGTGGTATTACGGGCGTTGTAGAGAAAGCTACCCACCCATTGGCAGCCACCATGGATTAATGAAATGATATTAATCATTTAAGAGGTCTCTTATCCATATTCTTTCAGACGTTTACGTGGTATTTGTGGGGAATGGAGTAATCGTATTTGTGAGTTAGTGTGATTTTGTAATTTACTATGAAAACGTCTGTAATATGTTTTGATGGATGAAAAAACTGTTGGCATTTGAAGATCTCTGTGAAGTGGGTTATTGTTCACGAAAAAGAGGCAGAAACAATTAGTCTTAAAATTATGGATTAAAAACTTTGTAATCTTTGAATATTGGAATATTTGGCCGATCCATAAACTTGGCACCCGTACGTAGGTTTGTGTGTCTCAAAAGTTTTGATTTTAATGATAATTTTGATTGTCGGTTGGGTAGGTAATAAAGCATTTTAAATATTTGTTGAGTGTTTTTTTTAATGCTTTTCAACAGGAATCGAGTTGTTGGAAGTATTGTTTTTGGAAACCATTGTAGACCTAATCGACGGGATCGAAGTTTTTATTAATTAATTTCTTTCACATATATAAATTAATTAACTTATATTTCTTATTATAAATTTATTATATCCATCTTGACTATGTATGATTTAAATGTAAAAAGTGTATCATATCCATTTAATTTGATAAATAAATAAAATTGCGGAGATATCTCCAAATATGTTAACGAATTATCGACACAATCGATTCACAACTATCGATTATTTGGCGGCAGAATAAGCTACGGATACACAAAACTTTAAAAGCACTTTTAAAGTTTTATTTTTGAAAAGAATTCTTATGAGTTGATTTTTTTCATCTTGGTTTTAGATGTGGTAAAAAATAGTCTCATACTTCAGCTAATAACTGTTTAGTTAATTTAAGCGTATTGCAACACGACTCGAGATTTTTTTTGGAGAGGTCTTATTTTTAGAAACCTTTGGGGACTTACTTAATTGACTATGGTTTAATTTGAATTGGCTTAAATCAACCCACGTGACCTCACGTCGTTTCGTCCTATTGTTCGATAAGAAATCGATTTTCTTCCCTTCCACTAATGGGCCAGTGGGACGGATTCAGATTTCAGACTTCAGTTCAGTTGTACCCGGCAAGGCGTTCATTCGTTATCAGACCCTCGGAGTGTAGAAGGCAATACAGTGCACTATGACAAACGTCAATCAGGGTGAGTAACGTATTATTGACTTACTGTGGCTTCCTCTGGCCTCCTGCATGTTGCGATGACAGTTTTGAACGCTTTTTTCTCCAGGATGGCTTTGACGAGGCCGAGACCAATGCCTCGGTTCGAACCGGTTAACAAGACGTTCATCACGACGCAGTGTCGAACCGAACGTCGTCGTTATATGGGGAACCTGCCCCGTTGAAACCTCCTCGCGTGGAAAGTCGGAAATTTTCAAATTCTGTTACGTAACCTGAACCTGACAGATCTCGTCGGCTTCTCCAGAACTCGGAGCCGTTTATTTCTCGAACCGGTTGAAATGCCGTCTTGACTCAAAGCTCGGTATGTCGCTCGGTTCCTTGACAAGAGCGCTATTCAGCAATTCGGCGAGGAAAATCGCCCGCGGACTCTCCTCGGGCCAGACTGTAGGTAAGACGGACTCTGATTTAATCCATTCTAGCCCGAGTCCGGTTTTCCTCATTTATTCATATCCCGCTCTTAATTTCTTTTTAAACAGATTACATAAACATTAATGAATCTCAATTGCTAGCCGAGTTTAAGATCCTTGGTATGTACTTTTAATTTATCAACTTTATAAACAGTTGATTGTAGCAATTTGACATCTCACATGGTAACGATTCGAACATACATTTGGAAATAATATTTTGAAGTGTCACGATAAGACACTTAAACAGTGAGGTTTTATTATGAATTAACCTATCGCCTGAATCAATACACGTGTAATTTACAACCCAAATTTTTAAGTTTTGCAATCCTGATTTCACTGTTCCATAGTAAAGAATAAAATAATATAAATATTAATAACAGTGAAGACTGTTTGTTTATTAAGGTGTCAACCCCCAAAACTGGTTCTATCTGTCCAGACAGAATTGTACATCCTGTTCCCATTATCAGTATTGATTCTATTTTCGCACTTTACCTTTAAATGGTTAAACGGAAAAAATACATAATTCTGACATTTATGTATTAGATTTGGCGGTTTTGGGCTTCAAGGACAGCCAACTCCTTTGCTGATTTTGTATGTTAGACTGAATTTTACATCTATCCTGGTACGAACCAATATTTTACATTTTTTTACTTTATTCTAAGCAGCGAGATGGTTAAACATTAAAAAGTTGCAAAATGCTGACAGTTAGATTGTAGTTTTGATTATCAAGGTGTGCCAAACTTTATGCCTAACAATAAGTTATTCAATCTGTTCAGACAGAATTGTACACCTACCCTGGTCCTAACAACAAATTTGGCTACAGTTTTGTACGTTGTGGTTAAAAACATAAATAATTGTATAATGCTGACATTTATGTGTATTAGATATGGTGGTTTTGGTTATCAAGATTGCCAACCTTTCATGTGAAACACTGATTCTATCTGTTCAAACAGAATTGAACACCTATCCTATTCCCACAATCAATTTTGATTCCATTTTTGCACTTTTTTTTAAAATGGTTAAACTGAAAAAATACAGTTACAAATACCAGGTGGTTTTGATTATCGAAGGCTGCCAACCTATAGCAGTGATTCTTTCTCAAGGTTCAAACCAAAATTTCAGTTTTTAACAATTCCAATGCATTCTTACAATTTATATAATATATACTACACTGTTGAAATAAAAAAAAAAAATAAATAAATAAATTGCCTAGGTTAATTAACAACCAGTAAAATGATTCCACTCATGAAAAAATATATATCAAAACTTATTGTTGTAAATTTGTTGTATAATATTATTATAAGAAGTAAATGAATGTTAAATGTATGGAAACAGGGTCTCATTATGATCTGATTGTGATTGGTGGTGGATCTGGTGGACTAGCTGCTGCCAAGGAAGCCGTCAACTATGGGAAGAAGGTTGCTGTGCTTGATTATGTGACACCCTCACCTAAAGGAACAACTTGGGGCCTGGGCGGAACTTGCGTCAATGTCGGATGCATCCCCAAGAAATTAATGCACCAGGCGGCTCTGCTCGGCGAAGCAGTCCATGTACATTGACTTGGTGGGAATTGTTTGCAGCAGTACTAAAAAAATTAAAACTTTCAGGATGCCAAAACCTTCGGATGGGAACTTCCAGAGCTGAGCACTGTGAAAATTAATTGGGGAGCCCTTATCCAGTCTGTTCAGAACCATGTGAAAAGCGTAAATTGGGTCACGCGGGTTCTACTCAGAGACAAGTTACTATTTAAATTTTTATTTGTTGGTTTTTTTAAAGACCAGATTAATCATTACAAGTTTACTTGCCGATTTATCAGTTTGATCACCAATGTTCAGAAATTTACAAATTTTTCTTTGGAAATATTTATATTCTTTTGTAATTAATGTACATACAATAATCTTTACAATCAGCAAAATCGCTGAAACCATAAATTGAACCATAATCATTCATCTTTTGGCTTAACTTAGCTTCCATGTAATGCATATCCAGTCAGCATGAACTACTCAATTTTTATTATCCAACTTCCATTTCAACCAAAATGAATCAGACAAGTAATTAGATTCAAAATATTGGTTAATAGTTCAATAATTTTAGGAAAATTGATTATATCAATGCACACGGTCACCTCGCTGATCCTCATACTGTTGTTGCTGTGCTGAAAGATGGATCAGAAAAGGCTTTGAGAGCCGACAACATTGTTATTGCCTGTGGTGGACGACCAAATTACACTGATTTGCCTGGAGCCAAGGAACTGTGTATATCCAGCGATGATCTTTTCTCACTTACCCAACCACCGGGAAATACTCTGATTATCGGTGCTGGTTGTATCCTTTAAATGAATTTGCGGAAAAAAATTACATTCTTGAACTTTATTCCTTAATCCAATCCAATCAGACATTGGACTTGAATGTGCAGGGTTTTTGCAAGGCCTTGGCTATCAGACAACAGTGATGGTCAGGTCAGTCGTCTTACGAGAGTTTGACCAACAAATGGCTTGCCTCATAACTGAAGAGATGGTTGAAAGGGGTGTAAAATTCTTACACAAATGTATTCCTGTATCGTTTTCCCGTAAACCCAGTGGTGAAATTGTAGCAAAATGGAAAGACACCAAGGTATTCAATAAATATGAATCTTGTTTAGCATAATTTAATCGTTATTTTTGAAACAGGACAATTCTGAACACACAGGCGTATTTGATACAGTATTAATGGCTATAGGAAGAAAACCTTTGACCAAGGAGTTAAGAGCTCCGGAAATCGGATTGAACCTTAGCCAATCGGGGAAACTAATTGCAAATCAAGAAAAGACCAATTTCAGCAACATCTTTGCTCTCGGGGATGTCTTGGAAGTTAGTAGTAAGATTTTGCAAATTTTAGCTGTTTGTTAAAATGGTTTTGCTTAAATAGGGTCGACCTGAACTTACACCCGTAGCAATTCAAGCTGGGAAGCTTCTAGCAGCTCGTCTTTATGGAGGCAGTAAAATTCAAATGGATTATGAAAACGTGGCGACTACAGTCTTTACACCCCTTGAATATGGATGTGTTGGCTTGTCTGAAGAGGCGGCTACTAGTAAGTTTGGAAAGGAAAATCTTGAGGTAATTTAAAAAAAAAAAACTATCATTAAATTAGTTTCAACCAATTTGTGAAAGTAAAAAGTAAAAAAAAGTGAAAAATAAGTAAAATTCTATTATATTTTCAAAGAGACTACGGTCATGGGGGCGCTGATTAAAGTGAAACTTTTTGTAGTAATTCTAGGTTGAAAATATTAGACATGTGTCCAAGGGTTTGGACTAAGAAATTTTCTTATCTTTTTTATTAATTAACAAATTTTGAAATTAACTTGTGCTATGAGCAGTGGCAGCTTTGAGAATGCCATTTTTGTACTTTTTACACCCAATTTTTTTTCTTGGCTCTTGGATGGAATTCTTGGACACGAGTCTATTTTTGGACCTAGTACCACTAAGTTTGGTTGAAATTGGTGACCCCACAACTATAGCCTCCCCTCGTTAGATTAAACTTTCATTAAGACAAATATTACTCTAGTATTTTCTCTTTTAATAATAATTTAACCAAAGAAGTATAAACATTTTTTTATATTTTCTATCAATAAAATATTTATAAAATTGATATATTTTTTGACAGATCTATCATGCCTATTACAAACCCTTGGAGTTTTTCATACCTCAACGGAACCCTGCACGTTGTTATTTAAAAGTGATTTGTTTGCTTGAACATGAGCAGAAAGTTATCGGGATGCATTTTTTGGGGCCTCAGGCTGGCGAGGTTATTCAAGGGTTCGCCGCTGCTATGAAGTAATTCTTCCAAATTGAACCTTCTCGAAAATTATAAGCTATGTGTAATTTATTTATTTACAACAAAAATTTTCCTTTTCAAGGTGCGGATTGACATACAGTAAATTAAGCAATACCGTCGGCATTCATCCGACCGTGGCCGAGGAATTCACTAGGGTTTTTATCACCAAGCGATCAGGCATGGATCCGACTCCACAGAGCTGTTGTTCGTAGGCTATGCCGCAGAAATAGTCCAGCCTTTAGGCTTCAGAGCAAAAACAAATCACTCATGAAATTGAAATTAGTGTTAACCAGAGCAACTCGATTTTTATTATTATTATTGATTTTTGTTAATTTTTATTTTACTGCTATTGTATTTTTACATGAACCTGTATAATATATTTACATTAAAAAATATATATTATTTATTTCGGCATGAATAAGGAATTTATAATGAACAGGTTTTTACCAAATCCCAAAGTTTTTTCAAAAACTCAAGTATTATCCTTCAGACCTGAGCATTTCCTCTTCCAGGAGAAAGAATCAAATACCATATAAGCCTTCGCACCAAAGAGGACATATTCTGCAGTCTCTATTAACTTTTTTTAAAATGATTTTTCAAATAACTTGTAGGTTATTTGAACCCTTGGGGTGTCGGTGTTTGTTAAAAAAGCGCATTTGCAAGCATGGTGGGTTTGAATTAATGCTGCTGGATTCAAACTCAGAGGCCCTGTATGCAAGGTTACAGATATCCACTTTACACTCTCAAAAATCTGAACGTGCTGATACGCTGATAAACTGCCTGAAGCCACAATTGTGTTAAAACTAAAAGGTTATCTAGTAATCTATATCTCATGACATTGCACCACAAATTTAAAAAGTTCATCATATTCCGCACTTAGAAATAAAATGTAAAAAATAATAAATTCATATTTGTCGCACGTGCTGCAATTAAGGGTAGATCTCAGGCCGATTCTATTTAAATATGCCCCACAAATACCATGGCCCGTTCTCAAACGCATAACGGTGGTGTTACTTTTTCCTTCAATGACAACCCACGGCTTACTCATCAGTTTGGGAAACAACGATTTGTAATATTTACCGGGCTCAGCCGAGCCGTATGCATCTTGCCACTTCAAAATTAATCTCTGCCTATTTTTGCTCCGAAAGTTGCCCCTCATAAGTGGAGTTTCCAATTGTTTTGCAAGTCCGTATGGCTGCCTTAGCCAACCTGTCTACTTCCTCATTAATCCTAATTCCGGCGTTTCCCTTGACCCAGCTTAGTGATATTTCCTTTTCCTCTTGAGCGAGGCTATGTAGATGTACAATATCTATCAATATGTGCTCATAATTACCAGCCCTTACTTCTACTGCAGATCTTTGCGCAGTCCAGTCTCACAGCATATTCTAAAGCCTTCGATAGTGCTAGCAAGCACAAATTTGATTGTAAGAAGTTCTAGATAGTGTGGTGAATGCGACGATTCAGATTTAGTTATACTTAATGGACGATGTAAAAATGGTCCTGATGGTGCTTTTACATATGTAGGAGCTCAGGGTAGCTCAGTTATCAACTTGTGCTGCGCCTCATGAAATATACTCCCTATTATTCAAGACCTATGTAGGATATGAATTCCCAGTAACATTCTCATTAAATCATTAGAGTTTGATAGAAAAATCATTACCTGGCTTCCAAAAATTAGGCGTGTAGGCAATAAAGCTGCTTATCAAGAAATGTTGGTAAATGAGGTGCAAAAATGTTGAACAATACTCCACTGACATAGACATCTCCTCTGCCATGTTATAGCTAGAAAAATGGCGCGAAAATTGCTTAACCTGTGTAGTAAAAGTTAAGTACGATTATCAAGAAGGCGTACTTCGAAGCAAATAATTGAGTATACAAATTTAATTATTGCAAAACGAACTGAATAGTACCAGAAGCTTTTAGAAAAATTTAAAAAGGTTGTTTGGTAAAGATTTTTGGAATTTTGTGAAAGCCTTTAGAAAATTAGGACATAGAATCGACAGTGAGATCTCGGCAGCCGATTGGGTTGACCACGTTCCCTGAACACTATTCACTGTTATGCCCCGCCATTAATCCCCACTCCCGAATTTGACTGTGATTTTAATTTAGATTAATTGTATTTAATGCTTGGTAAAGCAAAAAACAACGAAGCCCCGGGAATAGAAGAAACGCGCCTTCTGAATATTTGAAACAGCTCCTCCAGGTATTCAATAAAATAATATTTTTCAGGAAATGTTCCTCCTTCTAGTTTCAAGGAATCCATAATTTTTCCCCTATTTAAAAAAGGGTCGACATACGAGGCGAAAAACTACCGTGGATTAAATTGGGCTGGGGCAAAAATAATGTAGGTTTTGAAAAGGCACTTAAAACTATTTTTTAATTTTTATAAGAAAAAGAAAATTTATTCGAAATATTTTCCATCACAGACTATACATCTTTGACGACGTGTAATAAGCGCTTTTATTTCGTTGACATGAAAATCTTTATTTCTACTCACAATTAAGAAATGGAAGATGTTTTCAGCTACCCAGCGTTCTATAAAAATTTTATCCCTCAAGAAGTGATCAAAATGCTTAAAAAAGTGGAAGTCTATAGGCGAGAGGTGGGGTGAATATGGAGGGTGCATTGAGGTTTCTAGAAAGTCGGGTAAGTCCTTAAGTTTCCGCAGGGTTGGCGTTGCGATATGTGTACTGGCGTTATCGTGAAAAAGAATCGGCTAATGCTGGAACGTTGCAGTAATATTTTTCTCCTGTGATAGTTTTACCATAATTTTGGAAATTATAGTGAACAACCTCAGCAACACAAAACTAAACAGTCACCATAATCTTTTTTCGGTGTAGCTTTGGTTTCGAGAAGTGTATTTGCGCTTCATCCTTGTCAAACCACTACCTGTACGCCTCCTGTTATCGTACAGAATCCATTTCTCATCGCACGTGATGATTCGCTCGAGAAATGGATCATTTTGTTGGCGCAACGGAAGAAACGTGCATATTTCAAAGCGTCGATTTCTTTGGGCTTCGGTTAGTTGGTGCGGTACATACTTACCGAGCTTCGTTACTTTACCAATTTGCTTCAGATAACGAACAACGGTTGAGTCGTCAACACTAAGCTCTTCCGCAATTTTGCTTGTTGTCTTGCGTGAATTTTCTTCAATCAACATTTTGAGTTGGTCGCCGTCTACAACGGACAACTATCTCCAACCTTCCCTGTCTTCGAGGTAGAAATCTCCAAGAAGAAATCTCTGAAACCATCAGCTGCACCGTGGATTCGCTAATTCTTCCCTTCCCCCAATCTGATTGACGCACGGTTTGGGCCGCACTTCGCCCAAGTTTAAATTTGTTGAAAATCTTGGTCATATTTAATTTCGAGTGTTCTCCACTCTTATGAAATTCAATATAATCTGTTTTGTATAAAGGTTGACAAAAAAAGTACTTATTATAATCCATAAATTAGATTTTTGAATTTAGCTTTGATTACATGACAAGGGCCTGGGAAAACAAAACAAATTTTCAAAACCTGCATTAATTTTTCACTAAACCAACACTTTTTGAACTGTATAGGCAATCCGTTCTGTGGACTTATTTTAAACAGATTAGAATCGTTTGTCGAATTGCATAAAAGCCTCAAAGAGTGACCAGGCCGGCTGTAGAAAGTGATATTCGACGGTCGATTACATATTTGTTTTGGTTTATGTTATCCAAATGAGATTACATAGAATAGAAAAACACGTTATGCGTTTTTTGTCGATTTAAAAGCTGCTTTTGATATGGTAGATTGGGATGCTTTGTGTAATATACTTAGTATATTGATGACTCATCCAGTTTAAACCTGGTCGGTTGTAAGACCGTCAAACGGTTCTTAATTACAAGGTCTTCATCAAAAGTCAACTTAAATCGTAATTATTTGTAATTAACCTTCGTGGTATTTGTTAATTTAGTTTAATATAATTTTCTGCGATGGTCAATTCAAAAAACAATACAATAGGAATGATTAGAATGATTTTAGTTTGAAACTAACGATTCTTCCAACTGGATTTGTCCGTACGGTAAAATGTACTATAGTTTCTTGTCGAATAATATAATACATATTTAATATGCAAATTTTATGCAATAAGTCGAATCATTCAATTATCGAATTTCCTTCATAAAAACCTAACTTCATTAAGAAAATACCAGATACTGCGCCAATTTGTTCAAAATAAATCGTCCTGCATGATTTATGTTTATAGCCGTAAGTCTTGTCACTGTCAAACCGGGTACTCTGATGAAAAATCTCACAATTTAAAAATGAGTAGTATTGTAAATAAAATAATATGACCACTGAAGATTGTAAGAAACCGAAATGCACTTGATATAAACATAAGGAATAAAACAAAATGATATTAAACTACCAATCTACAGATACTACTACCTCTACTACTACAGATACTACTCCACTCTATTACCTAAGAAGAAATTTCATAAATAAGAGAAACATAAGAAACTGATCATTTTCCTAAATAGGGGTATTAAATACACAATGAATGCAAATAGATCGCAGTGGGGTGTTTTAAAAACCCCGGATGCCAAAAAATCTTAATTATTTTATTTGTACACTTTTGTTCATATTAGCAGATATTACAAATAATGTGATCCCAAAATGTTTTTTCACACGGCCGCAGCCCTATGTCACGAGACAGTCAGTGCTGGCACTGAGTGTCATTAAGGGGCAAGAGGGTCTCGAGGCCATTATTGATTAAGAGTCTACCTTCTTTATTTCTTCTTCAGACTAACCTCGAGCAGTATGGTTAGAATAGGTTGAGAGGTTAGTGTAAAACTTTTGTAATCTGGAACGGATCAGTTCGTTGATAAAATGAATAGTGAGGTCGTTGTGTATAGTGAGGTTAGTGACGTAGTAGGGAGCTTTGACGATTTTCTGAGGACATTTGTTTGGTTGGACGCGCTGGTTATTGTCTTGGCAAAACTCCGCAGTGTCACTAATGACCAAAGTAATCGCAGTGCAAGCTTGTATAAGGTTAATTTAGTATGGACGACACGTATTTCGGTCCTTGAAGTCTTCGTATTTGTCCAAGACTTCCGTTAAGTCCTCTCTTAAGTGAGGATTCCTCGTTAGCCTGCTGTCTAGGTATAGTCCTAAGTATTTGACTTGAATGGAAATCGGTTGTAAACAAACGACTTCATTTTGTCCTGCCAGAACAGAGGTCGTGACGCACCTATGAATGTATGAACATAAAGAACAACACCAGGTGGATACTGTGTGGCATCAGAAATGACAAGCAAGAGTAATGACTTTCATGACTGATGAACCCAGCTTTGTCATTTTTCTGGAGGTAGAGGGGTTTGTCTGATCCGAAAGCAGGAGTACCAGGAGATC